AAGCCAGTGAGGGATGTCGTCGATTTCTAGGTTGAGGCTCTTATTAAAAGTGAGGATCTCATCTTTGAGTTGTGCTAGGCCAGCGAGAGAGTTGNAATTCTTTAATTGGGATGCCGTGGATTACTACTTGGTATTTGATAGCGTCGACTCTTGCCTCTTTGAATTTAAGTACCTTTAGGATAGCTCCGATTCTGTCAAGCAGGAATTTAGCATTGTATTCTTCTGCTGCTGTAAGGACAAGGTAGTTGTTTCGTGATCTGGAGACTGTGCTAATTGCGGGGCTGACATTAAAACGAGCTTTGAATTCCTTGTTAATAGTGTCTCTGAGGGTAATTGGTTGTAAGTCGCTAAATGGTTGAAGGTGGTCTTCGATGAGAATGAGACGCTGGGCTTTAATGGCTTTCTTTCTCTCAGTAGCAGCTTTTTTAAAAGCGTCTCTCTTCTTGTCCATGTTTGTTTTTTGAGGAGGAGCGTGGTTGAGTTGCCGGTCTATGAGGCCTTGAGTACTGTTATCTGTGTCTGTGTCTGTGGTAGGTTTGTTGTTTGTGGTTACCGATGCGTAGCTTCTTTTAGGAAGGCGCCTTGCGATGTTCTCTAGGTTGTTGACTGAGTTGGTAAGGGTGGTAATTGTGTTTTTGAGTGGTTTTCCCTCGGTATAGTCCCGGAAGAGGTTGAGTAGGTCCATGAGAGCGAGTTTCTTGGGCTGGTTGTCTTCAAGCTCAATCGCCTTACACAGAAGGGACCTAGATGCTATAATTGCGTCATCGGAGGTTTCTGGGTGGGACATGAGGGCGTATTTTGAGGTTAAGTTCAAGGATTGGTTGCTTCTTTGTCTTTTGGCTTGAGGCTGGGTTTCTCTGATTCTTTGGGAGTTGTTTGGCGTGCTAATGTCTATAAAGCTAGGGTTGTTTTGGTTTCGTTGGATGTGGTTAACTGGGCTGGATGGCGCATAGCCTCCTAGGAGGTAGTCTTGGCCATTGGCGCTAGGTGTTTGGGGGATTGGAGTTCCCAGGGTGATAATTGGGTAAATTGGGCTGATGGGGAGCGTGGGCTCGTTGAAGAGTTGCATGGGTTCGTAGGCTGTTCCTTCTATGACTTCTTGTTGCCATTCCGGGTTTGACTGTGTTTGGGTCGCCATAGTAGCGGCGTTGGTGGTGTAGGGGTTGTGAGAGGTCAGAAAGAGGGGGTGAAAATTTTTCACGTGATCTTTTGACGGATATATCTCTGCCACCAGAGGGGCAGGCCTCCTGGGAGGAGAGGGGAGTGGTTGAAATTCTAGCTGCTATCGTTTGGTTGAGCGTGATTGATGGAATTCGAAGAAAGTTTTTCCTCGAAAAAGTTGTGTGTGTTGAATTGTTGGGTTGGGATGCTAGCTATAAGTAGTGCTTGGTTTCTTCGAAGATTCTATAATCCCCTCAAAGCACAGTTTTAGTATTCTTTTGAAACTATTCGCAACATCACAGTATTTTCTCCCTGTCACAACGAGAAATCAAAATTATGGATGTCGACAAGCGATACACAGACGAGTGGAAGGCATTGATCAAAGCTTTCGAGCAGAAGAGCGGAGAAGCGTGGGAGAAGTACCAGGAACAACGAGCGAACGGCACGGATGTGAATCAGTTGCTTCAAACAGCAAGGAAGTGGGAGGATAGACTTGGAGAGTACGTAGAGCCACCATTCAGATTCTTTGGCGCAATCATGTTTGTGATCACCTCTCGTCGCTAACCCAACTACTCAGAGCAATCGAAACACGCTCCGAAGAACAAACAGCATACTTCGCCGCCATGCACGAGCTTTTCCAACTGGAAGATGGCGAAATCTTGGAAGACGACCCGGATTATGATAGGGAGATGAAGAGATATAATGGCCATGAATACTGGCTTAAGAAGGTACATAAGTGGCGTGGGGATTGGAGTGATGAGGTTAAGGCTAATGAGGCACTGACCAAGGAGGGGAAGACGCCGGAGCGGAATGCCGCTACCGAGAAATGGGCTGAGGAGGGGGATGTTGATATGGAAGAAGATGATGAGTAAGAGGACGGCCAAGTGACCGAGGACTAAGTTTCGCGCGTGTGAAATATATGTCTCAGCTATGACATGAAGTTGTTGGAAATTGTTTTGCGCATTTTAGGAACTTCCAGAGTATGGGCGGAATAAGCGAGAATCATTATCTTCACAACATAGCTCGCAAATCATGTGTTTGCCTCGTAATGTCAATCATCTAATGGTACTTGAACTAAGAGAGCGCAATTGCAACGTAATTTAGAGCTACTACCATGTTCTGTAATGTCTGGCAATCGCAGAGGAGCTTCCTTGATGCAATCAATCTAAGCGAGATGAATGACCTCTCTAATGCGCAAATCCCAAGGCAAAAAGATAGATAAAACCCAGATACCACTAGCTTATCAGCTTTTGCGCTGCTTAAGAAAGTTGTTTACTCCATATAAACTCTACCAATTCGCTGTTACCTTAGTTGCACTCCGCAAACACGCTACGGTCAACACTGTCGCGTATGCCATTCACTTCCCACGACTCCGCGTAGAGCACCAATCGCATCTCCCTCCATAAATGAACTTAATCTAAACTCCAAAAAAAATCCCAAAGTGTCCAAACCAACCCAAAAAACTGCAAAAAGACCTTAATACGCCGCGAGGCGCCGCCAGGTCGAAAAACCAGACGAACTGAGTTTTATCAATTGGATTATCATTCCTGCGCGTGGTTTCCCTTAAAGCTAACAGGCAAATACTACCGTACGGATAGGAATAGTCAGGGGAGGAGTAAGGTGTGCCGCTCGTGTAGTGGTGTGTACGCCTCTGGCTCACCAACCACTAAGTTACTGAGACAGGTTTTGGCAATACAAATAAGTGATGGTGGTTTGCTTGTTTATGGCTATGAAGGTCATTTGTTGATTTTGGTGTGGAGGCTAGGCTGATAGCGTGGCTAAAGAGCCAAGGACTGGCCGAGGGTTGGTTGTGGTTGAATGTCTCTTTAGATGAGTGGGACTTGATATTCACTCGCTTGTGTCTTGGCATTCCGAGCAGCAGCTGCATGGCCAGTGTCTTTGGGCCCAGATCGTTGATTACCGGCACAGATTCATCGATCAATTACGCTGCACTGTTTTCAGTCTGTATTTTGCAAAAGCTTCGCCTTAGGGTTCGACCTTGAATAGCTATATTGCGAAATACTTGACTTGAAGCTCATACGAGTATTCAGAAATAAACAAACCAAACGCAGTGAGGGCCGGGTGGCTGGTCTTTTGCAAAACATACTTTGTGTCAAAGCTTCAAGCACATGGTCTCAAATTTATTGCGATTTCTAGCAGCACGATAGGAACCTTTTTCCTCCAGAAAAGCAAAAACTGGATTCTGCCAACGCCAGACAGAACTTGCCGCCTTCAGATAGCATTCAACGCCTGGTTTCACTGGGGGCGGATACTCTGTGATTATTGGGATAAGCTTCCTTATTTATCCCGGCCTCTACGAGTATTAGACTGTCTAATTGGACTTCCCAACCAGATATTTGCAAAGCCTCTGATTCGAATTCAATTAATTCATTTTCACGAAGATATCCGACTTACATAACAAGGACTGGATGGAACCGAGTCCATATGCGCGTTTTAAGCCAATAATCTTTTCAGGACGGAGCTTTTCATTCTCGAGGAAGTCTAAAACTGAAAAGTACAGTATCATTTTTGCTACTCAAGTAGCTTCTGTGACGTTATCTTTTCCCAACACTCGAATTTCGAGCCCAGGCATCTAAAAGGACCTGCATTTCTGCAACGTTGGGCATATTGTGGATCGATAGTAGGTGAAGTGTTTACGTACTAATAAGTATCGGCGGCGATGATGAGACATTGCGACATGCCGAATGCGCACATCTCATTTGCAACATCGGCCATGGAGTTGATTTCGAGGCCTGAGACTTACGTACAACATACTGGCAGGATCGGGGGTATAAGCAGTACGAAGAAGATCAAGTGTAAGTGTCCCTACACCCTTTCCTAATTTGATGGGAGAAAATCCCTAAGATAAGATCTGCAAACGATTCTTTACGCTACAAGTGATTGCAGACGTATTTTTATTAATTTCGGGGAAAGTATGTGAACAAACCCAAAAGAGTCCAGTCAGGTGCCCACTAGTCCTCTATCACCAGAAATCCTTCAGAAAACCCACTTCCCCATAGACACAACGTACAGCCCCACAAACAACTGGCTGTGTAGTGCGTCGATGACGTGGTACCTTGGATTCAGGTAGGAATATTAACGTTAAGCCCCCTCAAGTATATGCGCCATACGATCGTCAATAATAAATTCAAAACATTTCAAGCGCCGTACGTGAGGTCTCGCTTAATTATGGGGCTCAACAAGGCAGCCAGACATAGACGAACTTTGATTGGATAAGCCGTACATGCAAAGAAGCGGCATAGTTCCTCTGCCATTCTTACGTCAGCTATTCATATTTTTGTAAAGTCATACCGAGCCCATTCCATAATAATGTCAACTCAAGTATTAGCTTCGATAGAAAGCTGTAGTTTCACATCTATACGAATCTCTTATATGCCACTTGAAGTCTGACAATGGTGTAATACGTAGAGTACGCAAATTTTCACTTTTGATTTGGGGCCGCATAATAACTTGAATCTATTTTTGACCTGCTCAACAAGTAGTAACCAGCTTTCTGCTCTACTGTCTTCATTTCTCTTCTAATTTACGTTATAGTACTTTATCTGTGTCATCAAAGGATTAGTCTAAGCCTCGACTATCATTACCTTAGTGATCTCCATTGTATGTAAAGTATATGAAGGTTGCACATCTTCAAAACAAAAGGTACGTAAAACTATGGAAAAGCAGCCAGCACAAGATGCTTCCTTTCACTCCTAAGCGTGGATTGTACGAGTTGGCCCATGATTGAACTGGACATTGAATTTGCCTTGGACTAGAAAAGAGGCTGTGTCAAAGGGTCAGGATATCTATATAAACTCCAACGACGGCACCTATCCGCTTCCATCCAGATCATCAAACAATTCACACCTCCTCTTCACAACACTTCCTCAAATCCACTTCCACAACCACTTCCACACCACCCCCTCCATTCCACAACCCCCAAAAAACCCCCACCCTCAAAATGCAATTCTCCCACCTCAACATCCTCACCCTCCTCATCGCAGGCACATTCGCCCTCCCCAACGACCTCGACACCCGCTCCATCATGGAAGCCCGCGCCGACTGTAAGAAGATCAACCCCGCGTGCTTTGGTGGAAACGTAGTAGGCAAGACCGACTGCCGCTGCAAAGGCCAAAACGGGCCTTGCGATCTCTGGAAGTGTCCTGGCGATGGCGCCAACTCTGTTGTAAGTCTCACATGGGTTGTCGTTTTCCTACATTCGATGTTATGGAGAAAGATACTGATGGTTTCGTATAGATGGTTTGTGGACAGAGTAACACTGGGTGTGTTTGGATCTAAGTGATTCTTCTCGCTTTATTGGGCTTCAAGACTCCTTGAAGTGGTGTGTTGATGAGAGGTGGCAGCGCGTGTGGTTTTGTTTGAATTCGTTTTGGTCATTTTTGATTTCTTTTTTCTATTCTTTCTGTTCGGCTCTCTATAGCCGGTTGGGGAGGGACTCCACTCTTTTGTCTCTCCCCTGGAATTTTTCATGTATTGCCTAGGTACAATTCCATTTGTTTAGATTTCTCTCATTTCAATATACTCGTATGGTGCACATCAACAAACTTGTACGTTAAGCATATGTAAAAGTTAGAAAGTACGCCTTAATTACAGTGTAAAACAGACCCCTATTACAGCTCCCCTTCCTTGCCATAGAGAAGAAAAGTACTGTAGCAATAAATCCATCGCTCATTGTTCTACATTCTTAAACTAAATCATATCACTAGCCTGGAGCGGATAAACTGGATATATCACATGCTTTGAGACTGTGGATGGGTGGACTATTTGATATACAGAACTCGCTAGATCCCCAACATCTCCGAAAACACTCTTAATTCCACCCACTCTGCGGACCTTGCTATTCTCCCCCAGACCCCCAAACACCTCCACCCACCATCCAGGACCCTCAATCAACCAACCTCACTCTCTCACAAAGTCCGACAAATCCCCCAAAAAGCCCCCAAAAGATCAACCATTCCCCAACACATCCGCCCTCACTCCCCTCAATGCAGACCTCCCAATGCCCAGCCCAAAGTCCCACCAATCTCGGAGAATTCTTATCAAAGTGGGCGCTTACAGTTAACTCCAAATCTACGTGCCAGAAGCGGGGTTTACCCTCCTGTATTTATGGGACGCCAAGAGTGCAAGAACAGTAGGTAAATATGGAGTATTCCCTCACATACCGTATTGTATCCACTATATTCTAACCACAGCCCTATCTCACATCCTCATCCCACGTACGAAAAACAAAAAGAATTACACAAAAAAATAACAATAAAAAAACAGACCACACAAAAAAGTCTATTCGAGGAAGCTGTCGTTATTTGTTAATAAATACGATAACTTCAAGTAAACGGACTACACTGACAAATCCAAGGGTGGCGTGTCTAAAAGGAAATATACTGTAAGGAAGAGGTAAACATATCATCATACCCCGCAACGAAGCCACAAGCATTACCTATTATGCGAATAATTATATCGATTCCTGATTAGGAGCCTGCGCTTTGACATTCGCCATGCCGGCAGAATGCAGAAGTGTACCCATTCCAAATCCCAATACAATGCCATCGTAAGATCATGAGATATGCGTTAAGCGACAAGGTGTGACAAAGGTATTTACTACTAACCGCCGTTGGCGCTCGAAAATCCCAACTTGCCTTTTCGCTGCCGCAAAAGAACTTGGTGTGAGTGGATTGACGCCCGTTGACTCAATAGAGTATAGAAAAATGGTATTCGATAAAACAGCATGAGAAGAATCAATATATGTACCACACCACCTCCATATTCGATATACCAGTCACCTCTATCCATTCCTGCCGTTGCGTATTGCCCATTTCCCGAACACGTCCACACCCCAGCTTCCTACTCCCACCCCTCGCCTATCCAATATCCCAATCCACCAACCTGCCTCAATGGCGCCAAAGAAAGGTATCCTGCCCGCTCTGACCCCGTCATCGCTGCAGTCGCTATGGCTTTGTCGCGGTGGCAATATGGGCTTCCTTCTATCCAGCTAGAGTCGTCCCCACCCAGCTGCCGCATCATCACATCATCACATCATGTACCGGTTAGCCATAGAACCCCAGGAAACCCAGAAACTCCCCGACGCCTCGCTTCGCTTCGCTAAAAGAAGTATCCCGAGAAATACCAAAACATAAAGTCAAATCCATCTATCTACGTTTGTGCCCCTCAAACATGTAACAACTATCCATAGCGAAAAAAGCTACCCAGAAAGGAGGAGTTGTGTATATACGAAAAATACAGAAATATGAAAATACATGAGACCCAAAGCGCCTATGCACACTTCTATCCAGTTGCCGCTTGACAGTTGATGCTATCGAGACATGATTACGAAAGGGCTAGGTGAATAGCAGCTAACGTCGCACCTAACCTAGTAATTAACCGAGAAGAACTGAAATTATGTTAGCTGGCTTCCAATAACAAACCAATGAATCCCTGGCTGAGGAGGCTAAGGTAAATCCGAAACTCACTTTCCCAGTTCCGCTCCTTCATAACACCCACCCAATGCATACGGCCACGAACTGTAAGTTCCGGATCCATATCCTCAGTGACAGTGACTTGATCCGGTCTCTTGTTTCCCGCTGCCGATACTCCACTAGCGCTATTATGCCTTTGTTTCTTTGCCGGACTAATACCGCCATTCTGCGAAGAATTATTGCTGCCCAACATGCTCTCGAATGCAAACATGTCGTCCATTGCCATTTCTTCTTCAAATAGGCGCTTGTTACTCTCTGAATGTATCATACCACCATGAGTTGGGCGACGTCGGTTTTCTTTCTCGGCTTTGGCGATCTCATCAGCATCCCGTCGCTGCCAAACATCTAGCATGACGTCCCAGCAGCGGTCGACATTGCCTATCCACATTCTAGCAGCCATGTTACGCCACCGGTCTTCGACCCATTGGCGATCTTCATTGTCATAAGCTTCGCATCCTGCAGCGAGCAGAGGGTAAATTTGCACAATCACCAGACGGCTACTTAACGGCACAGTGGCAAGCAATTTAAGAACCTTCTGTGCTAGAAAAGCAGAGGTATAGGATGGAATCTCGGGAACAGCTTGGTGTAGATAGAGAAGTGTTGCCCATCGATAGGCCTCCGCCGTCTGAAGGGCATGTTGTATTTCACTAGTTGGATCTTCAGGGCTCTCGAAAGCAGATCCAGGAGGTAGATACCATTCTTCAATTGACTTTTTCAACGTTGTAGCCTGTTCGATGATCTGTATGGAATTGCTCTCTACCATGCGGACTTTTCGGCAGAGATTGGCAACTTGACCAATGAGAGGAAAGAGAGTAGAAGCACAACCCATAAGTGGGTCCACCTCAATGTTGTTTATAGATGGATGCATGTTGAGAGGGATAGCGTGTTCGAATTCGCTACTCTCATTGTCTATCGAAGTCAGACGAGCGATGACGTCCATGTATACCCAGGTGTTACATAGAAATCGAAGACGTGACAGATCATCTCCAGTCAAGTTCTTCTTCCGATGAGATTCCAAGGCTTGATAGACCAAGATTTTGGCTCCTCGTAAGTGCTCGATGCCAGTACTAACGTGCTGATCCCAAGACTCAGAGAAAGCTAGTACAAGCGTAGTTGCCAAAGCAGTATCGGTTCGCATATTTTCGATACCAGAAGCTAGAGAACGAATGCTACGTCTCATGTGCTCCATACCTTCAACTCGAAGACCAGCTCTTTCTTTTGAGATGTGAAATGCTGTCATAGAAGCGATAGCATGATACAACGCAGGTGATTCTCTCGCTAGAGGCCAAATGAGACTCCTCCAAGGATTTTCGCTCGCTGAGTCTTTGACGGACAGAATACCACAAGTTTGCTTATCAAATCGAAGCATTAGCATCTCTGGACTTCCAGCCTGGAATTCAGGCTGTCTATAAATCTTGCTGAACGAATCCTCGCCTCTCCTAAAGGCTGGAGATGCTGCTCGTAGAAAATATGGTGGCGAAGAGCCAGTTTCGAAATAAATTGGACTTCCTGCAATCCATCTTTCGACATCTGACGTTTGTGATTCCCGAATAACCTCTTCCACATCATCATCCATGATACCATCATTCGAAATTTCCAAAGGAGGCAAACAATGCGATTCCATTGGAGACATTGTCAAAGCTGGGGTTGACATGCTAAGAGGCGGTATTGAGAGTGAACCTGGTCGAGCATTAAGTTCTGATCCAGGTAACAGAAGATCAATCAACCTGGGGGATTGACCAGAAAATGATGCCCTTGGAGATATATTTGATGAATCTTCAAACAAACTACTCAGACTCTTTGTTATAGAATCTGCCTCAAATCGGGGTCTAGGCAGTTCTCGCATATATGGAGGTGTGCTCATATCGAAGAAAGGGTGGTGATCGAAGTTGAGATCTGGTAGAGGAGATTGATTTGGGGGAGTCGGCGCCGCAGCGTGAAAGAACGAGTCTTGCATGACAACGTCTGCTTCGAGCTCAGCGCCAAGTGTTGAAGAGGCATCGGATTTTGGACTGGCAGTTGCAATAGGCGCATTCTGCCCCAATGGCTTTTCTTGTGACTTTCCTAAGTCAATAGAAGCTGCGAAAGAGTTAGTTTTCAATGCAAACAAATATCAATATCTGCTGCTTACCTGTCTTTGGTTTAGACGGAGCTACTTTATTGGCAAATGTGGTCTCCTCAAACGGCCTCCATTTGAAGTCCTTTTTGTATCCTCCACATGGCACACTCCGCTTGTGGCATTGTTGACATTCTGGCTTCGTTTCGTCGCATTTCAACCTTTTGGCTTTGCAGGTAACACACCCTACAGCAAATCCCCCATATCAGCCTCTATAAGTATGCCTTCCAACCCCGCGATAAGAGCCGGAAAAATCATCAGGACATACCGTTGCGACTTTTGGATTGTTTGGGTTTTACCACTCCCGTTTTCCGCTTAGGAGAGGTTGCCGTGGCAGACTTGGTGGGCGGTTGTTTCCGTTGTTTTGGAGGGGGTGGTGGTTCTGAGGCTGGTTTGATCACTGGCGACGAGAGAAAGGCTGTCGGGGATGGAATTGTTATGGTTTCCATCTTGATATTTTCTTGTAGGGGAACATGGACGAAGCCAATGCTGGAGGTTCCTGCTGCTGACAGACGCAAGTGAAAGTGTCGATTTGCTGTCGACGTAACATTGAAATTATTCACACACGCACAGAGTTCAGGATATGTGAGGGGAAGGTCTCGCCGACGGAGGAGGAGAAGGGATTCGTTCTGGTTGCATGGGCAGCGCGTGATGATTGGTGGGCGGGAGCTTCAGCAGCAAACTGGACCGGGAAAGGTGGGGAGAGTGATGCTGATTAGCGATTAGGACGCCTTGTTTTTGGGGCCCGCCAGACCCGTCATTGGGCCCTGTATCCTCTGCCCGGGGTGGGGGGAGTCTTGTGTCCACTGAAAGAGAGATCTCCCCTTCATTGTGTTCCCGTTGATGTGGGGAGGCGATGTTTCGTCTCGTTTTGGACATTTGCAGCTGATTCCGGCACATCATGAGCCTCAAAAACTGCTTTTCCGCGCTCACGGCCTCATTCTCCATCAAGACGAATTTCCTCGCCCTCGTTTCGCCCTCCACACCTTTTCTGGGGGTGCAGTGCCTATACTCGAGTACGCCCCATACGACCTTGGTGTGAAGCTCGGGGGTGGTAGTTGGTGGCTGACCGTTGATTCGTGGGCGGAGGCGGGGGAGAGATAACAACGACTTCGCACTTCGTCGGCGAGCAACCGGCACTCAGGGCCACGACATTTTGCCGGGGACGATGGTCAGTAGAGGTCAGCCACGAGAAGTGCTGTGGCATCTGCATCTTGTAGGAGCGAGGATGAATTTAGGGGTCAAGTGATGCTGTGTGCAATGTGGAAGGTGGCAAGTCTAGATGTGGTTCGAAGAGATCGCAGGAAAGTGTACGACCAGATGGCCATGAAGCTAATGAAGCCAAGGATGAAGTGGGAGTACAGAGTGGGTACGGTACACATAGAATAATGAAGCAATGACGCCAGAGCCGCAGATTTCAATTACTTCGATTCTAATGTAAGAACAATATATCAAGTAATAACATTAAAAATCAAAGTGCGTTTTGGACAAAATTCTTCTAGAGTTGGGAATAACTTCTCCCGTCCTGATCGGGACTTAGGAGTTCTGGTCATGAGATAAAGCACGTGATTTGGAAGCTTTTCTTTTGTACTACTCTCCAGTAGACAGAAAACCCACAGAAGTACTTGGGACATTTCTAGTACGTTGGACCAATTCATTCAAAGTCTTTGAAATGGTTGTAGACTTGTAGTCCGGGTCGCTTGTAAAAGGGCGAGATTTATCCACTGACGCTAGCTCCCTATCCATCGGGACTACTCGTACTCTCGCATATTGGAGATCTTCCTTGGCTCTTGGGAGAGCTCAGAGATCGGTATCATAAAGTTTGTTTGCATGGAAATTGTTACCAAAGACCATGTTGTACAGTCGATGATCTGAGCACAGAAAGAAATGCCACCGCATTATCCAATACACAAAGTGTAGTTTTGGAGATCGAAAAGTCCTATTTAGAAGAGATGGAGAAGTTGACCATCGCCTAGCTCTTATACCATATCCTTCAGAAGCGCTGTCATCTGAAAAGTTCCACTGGTAAGTCACCGCGATCAACCACGTGGAAACGTTAGGACTCGGTATTTCACGACTAAGCACTCAGAGCTTTGTTTGTTGAATCTCTGGGCCTCCCACTCGAGTACTCTGGTGACAAAATAGGAAAGTAGTCAACGAATCGGTACCACATCAGCCTGCTGGTTGGTTGCCTTGCAACCATTTCGCGCATCATTCAGATGAATCATATATTTGAAAATCGCAAGGAGCAAAGGAAACTCAGTGTAGCCGACCGACTGAAAGCAAACATCTTGCAACCATTGGCATGATGACAGAGGGCCTTGCCAGCGCATCATTCCAATCCAGCACTGCTGGCAGAGTCCGCATAGGTACCTGCGATATCGAACCACTCCAGACTCTTAAAAATCAAAGTACCATAAGAAGCACTTGCATTCGTGCGGTAACTCCCATGTTCTCTGTCAAGGTTGACTGAGACCTTCGAGGCCAATATCATTAACACGCACTCGCGCTCCAACGCTCAATCGCGTGACGCGCTTTCTTCCAACCTCTCAATTCGTGCTTGGCATCACCGAGGCGGTGAGAAATGCGATGCAGCGAACCTCCTTCATTGTTTGCGGACCTGTTTTTATACCTTTGGATATACAGGGCTGAAAGATCATGTAACAAAAAGTGACGATGTGGGTGGTATCCGGCTTGTATCTTGCTAGTCCGTCTCGCTTAACTCAGGACCCCGCCATCTTTTTCCCCTGACTACCACACTTTATATTGCACGGTAGGACTTCATTCACTAAAACATATGCGGAGAAAAACATTTGTACCCGTGTTGATATTCCTATTCGAGTTGATTATTTGAAGGATATCTCCAGTTGGGAGTCTTCACAACCCATCTTGGGTGTGAATACTACACCAAAGAGCCCTGCCGTATTTTCAGAATTCCGTGAGATTCTCATTCACTCTTCCACCCTGTAGAATGGAAACAAATGAAAGCTGAGTAAGAAAACCAGTGAACCCCCGATTTTGAGGATGACTTCTTTCCAGTTCAAACCCTCAGATTGTTCACAACTAATAAGTAAAATTGTTCCGTCTCAATCTCTTTATTACGTTTGTAAGTCTTTAAATACCTCGCCAACTGCTCCAGTATTCCCTTAATCTCAAAGCGATTGTGCCTGTCAATTCCAGTATACACACATCTCTTACAACTCTCAAGTGATTAAATTCTATGAGATCCTCATGAATCGAAACCACAAATTTCTTACGTCCATTTACTCTTCTCAAATAAAACTACAGTCTATCCCAGATAGACTCGCATCGTATACAACAGAGGCGCAGGCTTATTCTGACGCAATCTTAACGACTCGCCGTCCGATCGTTTTCCAAATTCCCATTATTCTCGCCTATACGACTTCAATGCCTTTAGCCCTGCAAACTCACTTCTACACCCTGTTCTGTCCCTAGCCGCAGTGTGGGGAATAAGATCAGTGCATAGTGCACTGCAATGCACTATTTGCACTACATAGTGCACTACGGGCCATTTTTTACAGTTTTAAAAGCAATATATAAACTGGCTGGTTAGTGCAGTTTATTAGTCTAAAACTGCCAGTTTGCACTGCACTACGCACTGAGTATATATATTCATAAAAATTCTTCTATATAACTTATAAGTTACTTCTTTAGGGTGAATTGGTTACTGACTAAGCAAGATTAGTCAGCAAGATTAGTCAGCCTCTCTATACCGTATATTCTCTAACAAGCTAGTCTATACAAAACAAGGCGATAGTAACTTATAGCTATAGAAGTTATATAAATAACTAGATTTACTAGTAAATCTATAGTTCTCTATTATATAAGAGCCCTTATAAACACTTAATTAAGTCTCCTAATAAAAACACGTGATTTCCCACGTGAGTATGCTTACTATTAAGAATATCCTTAGTTTTATAGCACTATCGTAGTGCACTGCAGTTAGTTCTCAACTTTTTGTACTACCGTTTTACTAATAACACTAAAACTGTGGTTAGTTTTAGGACTTTCAAACTGCACTGAAAACTGCGTAGTTTGTACTATTCCCTACACTGCCTAGCCGTGGGCGCCGCCTAGAAAAGGTATATCTCACATGCCTGTAATATTACTTTAATGCTACGTTATCTAAGGACCTCCGTACTAGTAGAACTTGAAACTATTCAGGACTCTGGAAATGCGTACCTAAGAGAATAAGCTAACAAGTTACCTTCTATGTTTCTAGGGACAAGGAGGTATCTCTAATAACACAATATAGGAGTCCTAACTAGAGACGAGGTAAGTTTCTCTCGCTTAATTACTAATACATAGACTATCTAATACATAGCTCCTCTAATACATAAATCCCAAGTCCCATCATCCCATCCATCAAACCCATCCTCTCTTCTACCAGTACAAAACCTCACAATTCCCCCGTGCCATACCCACTATTCCAAAAAGCGGCAGCTCACCGCCAAGAAGCTATTGAAGTCGTATAATCTCATTCGTCTCACTACACCACTCAGCCGTACCCCACAATTCCCAATCAAGACTCGAGGATAAGCCTGTGGTACCATTGGCGTGTAAGCAGAGCCCCAAATTCCGAAACTCGATGTATCATGTTTGATTAGACTTGGGGAAATTGTTCTTCGCCGCAGAAGCCACCTCTATGGAGCATGCTTAGTAGAGCAATTTCATATCCTTCGGAAAGGACGAGGACGGGTAGGCAACAGGAATTTGATTCTGGGGATATTATAGTATGGGACGGGTTACGCTTTCAGCTACCGGTATGTCAAGTAGTACTTGACTAGTTTTCTATCCGGTGTAGAAAAAGAACGGGCGGTTTGAAACGTGACGTCGATAGTATCGCGCTAGAAATGCCATCCGAACTTTATCTCAGCCTTTTCCTTTTCCTTTTCATCCCTTCATCCCTTCACTCGAGACCGATCCGAATTGTAAGCTCTCGTACCGTAATACTCTCCAACCTTGTTGCACGGCACGGGCTGAGAAAAAATGAGTGAGAAAAGCTCTTCAATCCGAAGCTCTTCTCATCCTCCAAGCTCTTGGCCGTTGAAGTTCTTCATCTGTAGTTGTGACGTCGTAAAGACTCCAGCAACGCCATGAACACCCTCTGCGCCAATTGCACGTGGCTGGATGTCAATCATCATTAGGAACGAACCCGCTTGCGAGACTAGTGGCGCTACGGAAGGGCACGGAGAATCTTCCCGGGTCGTGTCACTATTGAATTCGGTGCTTATGCTGTCATATTCTCGGTCCTGGATTTTGGAGATGGAATGGATAGAAGGACTTCTGTTTAAAAGTTTATTCCTGCTCTTATTTTATTTCTCTCGAGGTATCGCAGTCTTTGACAGTCACTCACTTCAAGCTTCAAATTTAATATCATTCAAAGATCTACATCTATAAATCTTAATACAAAATGTTCTCCATTCAGAAAATGTTTGGTGTAATTGCCATGCTCTCCATGAGGCAAGTTCCATACTCTCCCATCTCTCATTGCAACAGAACTAACACCCCACCAGCACCTACACAACCGCCAAACCCCTTGTCACCATCCCCCCTTGGGCCCAAGGAACACCACTCCCCACCACCCCATCTCCCTGCTACACATTCACAGACTACACATCCCCCACCGTAATCCGTACGTCCATTCCCATCACCTCTCCCTCACTTCCCTACTTCCCCTAACAAACTCTACATATCAAAAAACCCACATACCAAAAACCCATTTTTACCCGTCCTTACTTGATTGAGTATACTAACTAACCCACAACACCAGCCGCCAGCTGCCCACCAACCAACACCTGCCCCCCACACATCCTCTGCATCGAAGAAGTAGTAGTAACCATCACCGCGCCCTGCCCCGACGCACAATGCCCACTAACTCCCACCGTCACGGCGACCCCCTCGCCCGTTTGTCCTACTTGCGTAACGGGATGTGATAAGGCTACAACGACTACGACAGTCACTGAGGAAGGCTGTCAGGCGAGCGTTAACCCGGGTGGTCCTTTGATCCCTGCTGCTCCTACTACGACTGCTGCTCCTGTCGAGAAGATCTAGGGGTCGGTGAGGATGTGGACTCTTTGAGAGAAGATATGGGGGAATAGGACGAGTGAAAGGGGGTTTTTTTTAGGGGTGTTGTTGATGGCTGGTATGGTGGAGCTTGGGCTTCAAAAGCACTGCTGGGGTTATAGAGGATCGTGTTAATTGGATTACAAGATGTTATTATTTAAATAAAGAAATCCGCCCAAGGCCCATTCCATTTAACCATATCCCATATAAAAGCTATGAGACATATTTGGTATTCACTCACTACGCACTAGCGTCATTCCAGTGTCTCCCCTTTCGCTCGAACAACAAAAACAAACATCTTATATAATAATTTCCCCCTATTTTTAGACAAACCCCTCTGAACCTATATTTCACCCCTGTGCTCATCTACTCTCTCCATTCTCTATTCCCATTCAATACCCACGATGTAAGCGGAATCTTGAAGAAGAAAAAATATCCCTATTAATTTCACCGAGGACTCTATATCGTAGCATCTACCCGTTATTTACACACGTAACCTAGTACTAGCATACCAACATTTATAGTCCAATCCACCTTCTCTCAAGTAATTAGACACTCTCAAAAGGACCAATTCCTTCAACCCCTTATAACCACTCTTTACAAGTATAGGGTAAACCGACAATATACAAGGTATCCGGGAATAGCTAGCTTTAGCGTTTGTAAAGTCTATATATAGTATTCTTATTACGTAACTTTAAATATTAGGTTGACTTTTTTAAGTCAAGTGGGTGAGATAAAAGATTTATATTACTAACGTAATAACGAAGTCGTAGGTTGTATGCCGAAGTAAGTATAGCTAGCTAAGTCGTTATGTATTTATAGATGCTATGGTATGTTAGTCCTAAAGGAGTAGCTATGCTCGGAGCTAGCTGATAATCATTAATTTACTGTTATAAACCGACAAAAGTATAAATACGATAATTAAGAAAGCTATCTACCTACTCTAAGAAAAGAAAAGAAAATCCCTGAAAATCACGCTTACAGTAATAAGGAACTTGATTTCCTATTTTCTAATTTCTCATTTACTATTATCTTAATCTTTCACAGTTTACAATTCACTAATCTTTTTTAAAAAAAAAAAAGAAGACAAGGAAAGAAGACGAGATATCCATCCATCATCTCCCCAAGGCTTTCTTTCTTTATATTCTTATTTTTATGTTGGATATTCTTATGTTATTGTTATATAGTATTTGATATATGCATGCATATGAATTAGAAATAAAATTCGTACAAGTCATGAATACTAAGACAAAAGAAAAAATGGTTCCTTATTAACTTCCTCTCCTCCTCCTCCTTCCCTCTTTCCCTTTCCCTTTCCCCTCCCTCCCCTCCACACCTTATCTCACCTCACACCACACCCATCAACTTCCCACCCCTCCAACGCCATCATCCTCCCCGTGCCCATGCGCCCACCATGTAAACTCCTCACCACCTCTCGAACCTCCTCGTTATCATCTCCTTCCCCGTAGCCGTATCCATACCCGTACCCCTCCTCATACCCATATCCATACTCTTCGTACTCATACGCTTCATAGCCATATCCATAGCCATCATACGCCCCATACCCACTGTCATGATTTGCATAACGCCTATCTCGATCTAGATTTGGATTAGGATTCGAAGAACACCTGGTTTGGTGAGGATAGTATCCCTCGTGTCGTGGGGGATGATAGGGAGAAGGGGGTTGAGATTGGGGGTAATAAACTTGCGACGGGGAAGTGGAAAGTTGAGCCTGGGATTCCGAGCCGTAAGTGTGATGATACGAAGACGGACTCTGCATCTCCTGCCACCGACTCGACGGCGAGAAATTCCGATGCGAACCCGTCGAGTGACCCGTCCACGGTTGGTACGGTATCACTTCCTCAAGTCTCTTCGGTTGTCGACCCTCGGGCAGTACCCGCGGAGGAACCACCTGACTCCAAGCCTTGCTATTCCCCCACCCTCCTACATCCGCTCTCGCACTGCTCGCGCGAGGGATCCCCATCCCTTGAGCCATCTTTTCACGCTGCGCTTCCATCGATGGTGAGGGTGAGGCGCGCGTACGGATGCTACCCGGTCGAGAGAGTTCCATGCTCTGGCGTGCGGATAAGGCTTCGCCGGCGGATTTGCGGCGTTCGGCCCAGAAGTTTTTTTGGGTGGCCCAGTGGTCTTCTTGTTCGTTGTCTCGTGGAGGTGGATGTTTGGGTTCGAAGGAGGGTTGGGGTGACCGTCTATCGGATGATGATGGAGATGGGGTAGGCTGACCGTTGGATTGTGCCCGTGGACGGGACATCTTGCCTTGGGTTTGCATGGAGACGGGTGGCTTTCTCTGTCTCATCTCCCGAGCTGGAATGGGGATTCCACCCCCTTCTGATATTGATGTGGGGGGTTCTTGGGGCTTTTGGGGGTGTGTTTTCCATGAGCTTCGGTTGTTGTGGGCTGGTGGTGGTACTTCCCTGGAGTTGGTACGTACATGACCAGGAGGTCCGGAAGAAACATGATGGCTTGTTTTCATGGAGCCAAAGGAGTGTCGATTTTGCAGAGTAGCCGAGCTCTGCGTCTGTTCCGAGACAGCTCGTCTTTGGAGTCGTTCTGCAGTGCCAGCTTCAAACATTTCGGTCGAAGATCGGGCTCTGACTACGGCTCCTGTGCTAGCTGGTCGGGTAATAGCATTCGCAACACAAGCAAGGTCATATGGGGATTTGCCGAGAGAGAATGATATGGCATCGAAAGAAGTCACTTGAGCCTCGAACTCTTCCTCCTCTTCTTCAGCACTCTTCGGTGGGACAATCGACTCTCGTGAACGAGTCCACGATGGTCTTCTTCGTGCCTCAACCGATTTCCAGGTTGGGACTGGGTTGGAAGCTGGCTGTATCGTTGCTCTGCGATTACTTCGCGGTCTGATTTCCTGCTTGGGTGCTGGCTTGCGCGATGGGATCTCTGCGATGGGAGAAGGTATGGCAGGCAATTTCCCTTGAAGTCGAGCGAAATTAATCTCTTCCCTTACTTCGGCACTTCCAACAGAAAAAATCGTTCCCAGAGTCTCTTTGCTGGAAGATTTACGCAGGGCGGAAAACCGGTTAAACGTATTAGGGAATGCAGCGCCAGGGAACGCATCAACACGTTCTTCGAGATGTCTTTCCGTATCTTGTGGAACAGGAGGAGCGCTCAGTTTGTTCCCAGGCATAGCCTGAACCGTATAAACTGGTTCGGAGTGGGCAGTTTGGATGATTTGCGGACGCTTCTGTATCTTGTTTCCAAGTTCCCCTGAAGAGCTACTCTTCAATTGAGGGTTCGGCAGAGCTTGGTTAGGCAAACTCTGTTGGCGCTTATGCTTCTGTTGTGCTAAAAACTGCATGCGAGACTCGGATTTAGGTGGCACATTCGGCCTGAAGACATCTAAAGTTTTGACTAGTGTAATCGAGTCCGTGGAAGGTGATGCAGGAGCTTGTTTTTGAGGGGTTACTGGAGCTGGCGATGTTTCTTTTGAATTGTGATTAGATTCGAAAGATTTTCGAGATAGCAATTTTCCTTGTAAAAGAGTTTTCAACGATCGTTTACTACTCAATGTAGAAGATACTGAGGCCGAAGACACGGAATTCGTGTTGGAAGCAATCCTAGATACCTTTAACATATGAGAGTCTTTGGCGGGAACCATGGGCGCATTCTGGTTCTTGTTGAAAGACCTTAGGGACAAATTGGAGCTATATCCACTATCTGCTTTCTCCAAAGACTTAGGGGATAAATCGTCCTTGGAAGATTTTGTTGCCAATGGACTATCATTGCTTCCATAACCAGAATCATATGAGCTCGCTCCTGTGCGTACTAGTTCAGCTGTCTCCGGTTGCGCATCAGTCTCGGTTTCAAATAAATCATCCTCCATAGCAGTATTCTTGCTAGTAACTTGAAATCCTGATGACATTGGTGAGGTGTCAAAAGAAAATGGCGTTGGGATCATATCCTCGGTGTCTTCTTGGTTAGGATCCGATTTGTTAGGAGACTGTTTGTTTCTCAACTTGTATTGCGAGAGTGAAGAATCAGGTAATGGCAATCGAGTCTCGATTGTCAGTAGTCCTTTTTCTGCCCTTTGTACGTGTCGCAAAGGCGAAGCTGGTCGAACCGTAACCCAAGGTGCGATGATGGTATCAGAAGGGAGAGTGTTACTTCTCCGACTGGGTCGAGGTGGACGATTTGTCTCCTTGTATTCACCTCCATTTGTTAAATAATCCTCTTCATCCTTTGCCGTAATTGGCCTGGTCTTATCGCTGGGCGTGGGGCTTGCAAGTCCATTGGTGATTCTGAGAGTACCTAATTTGAAATCTCCAATATGCCCGTAATCCAAGGAATTCGGAGTTTGGACACGTTGATTGGGAGAACTGGGCCGTATGGCTGGTTCAAGTGAAGGAAGGTCGTAGTTGTGAACGGGGGGATTTCTCGACTTGCTGTCATAGGAGAGACGTTGAAGTTTTTCATCCAACTGCGGCGAGGATTTTCTTTGAGACGGCAACGATTGACGACAATCATTCCCGACCACAGGCTTTCTTGTTACAATTCCTGGCTGGAGTAAAGATCGTCGTCGAATTGGCCCATAATTCGTGATATCCGAATTCGTTCGGCTAGAGAGAGAGAGACGAGGGGTTGGTACCTGCACATCGCTCTCCTGATTATACAATGAATATCTTCGTGTTGGTGATCTCCTTGTAAACTCGCCTGGCTCGGGTAGAGGCGAATGAACTTCGGCTACCAACGAGAGTCTGGAATTATGTCCTGGATAGGGAACATGCTGCAAAGATGCGCGGGTATTGAAAGTCGGCCTGGTTCCAGAGTCAATTGCGTTCTCTGAATCCCGGTTTTCAACTTGCCTTGACGTATGGAAATCGTGTGTCGGTTGAGCATATGTCAAGTTCGAGTTAACCGAGTATCTGCGCACCGGCAACTCGACTGGAGTTGGGACATCCTCGGTAGGTATCACCGGATCGTCTAAGCGAGTTCGACTCTTTGCTTGCGAACTTCTCGACCTGAATAAATCTCTTCGTCTTCGCCGTGGCTCCTGGCCATCTTCCACAGGTACCGGCTCCTCTGGATCTGGACCTGGACTCGGCGTCGAACCTGAAAATAAACTATATCGCGATTTCGAAGGGGTTCTCGTCTGTGAGTTGTGTCGACTTGGTGTTTTCGGGACGATTTGACTCAACAAGTTGCCGGAGGAAGTTGTCCTCGGTTTGGACAGCCTTCGGTTCGGAACTGACTGCTCGTTACCCATCTTGAATGTTGACTGAGTGACTCCAGCGCCGAGTATCCTCAAGCTCAAATGGTGAGCATAGTGACACCCATTTCCTCGACGGCTTTTTGTGGTGTCGTGAGGGGGACGATGGGTAAAATGAGAAGAGGCTGGATGGGAGATGGAAATTCGATGTACATGTCCAAGACGAAACGGGACGATGTGACCTGGAACCTGCTTTCACTAGGGTGTGCAGTGGATGCAGTTCGAGGCCTTGTTTTAATGCTGGTCGCCTACCAGAGATTGGATGAGCGGTGCATCGAGTCCCTGTCGACGGACCCTGTGGTGGCTGTTGCTGGCTCTTGCGGGCGGTGGTCGACTCCCTGTGCGCGAAGATGGCGGGCTGGTTGGTCAGTGGTTACAGTGATTACAGCGAGCACTTCCAGTTACAGTGGAGTGGTTGGTGGACATGGCGCTGAAGCGACCAGCATCACCGGCTCTTCGACAGGGATGCCGGGACATTTTATGCTCTGCGGCTGCGGCAGTGTCTGAACTCAGAAAATCAAGTTTCGTTTGCGGTGGGAGGGTGGAAGCCCTTTTTGCCGCGTCTTTGACCCAGGGCCACTTTCTCGAAGCTGATGAGGCGACGGCGTGGACGGTGGCGGTACTCCGTACGAGAGTTTGCCTTCAGCGTTTGCAATGACTCTGCACGCGGTCTTGAGTCTTGACAGCGACTTCAGCGTATCTTCACACACTCGTACACTCGTCGTCCCTCATCCCAGGCCGTGCTGGCATTGATGGGATTTTCACAGGGGCGGGAAAGGCATCATGGGTATCATGATATCCATGAAACGCGCGTCGACTCTTCACCAGTGGCAATGGTTGAAATCCGAGAGTTGCATGCAGATGCGATGCAGTGCAGTGCAGCAGCGATACAGCACCGTACAGGTTACAGCAGATACCGTAGTCGCCGCAAAGTTGCAGACCGCGATAGTGCATTGCGCGGCGGTGATGATGATGATAACAATACAATGGTGGGAGCGAGTGCGAGAGAGTGGTGGTCAAGCGCGCTCTACTACTGTACGTACAGTAAGTACTCTACCCAAGAACTTTGCATGTCCAAGTACAGTTCTAAGTACACTTCTTCCTACACTGCACTGCGACTCGCGAGACCCGAGTCCGTACGACTCGGCCGTTTCAGAACGGAACACATCTCCTCCGTCCAGCTGCCAGTGCCGGTGCCAGATCCAAGATGGATCATCCGGATTGTTGGCTATCATCATTCAACTCTCATCATCCATCCTTCATGATCACCACCCATCATCTGGCCATGTCGTCAGACGCAGACACCACTCGCCAAAAGTGTTGACCTCCCTCACTTCCCTACAAAACTCAATTTGATAAGGATGTCCTCTCGCTACCAAACATCCCCCCTCTCTGGGAATTGGCAAAAAGTGAAGCATACTTCGTAAAAAGGGGGCGGGGCCAGGTGGGGAATAAGACGGCGTTGTCGTCATGAATGTCTCAACCTACTCCACCCCAGCCTAGGAGCTTGGGCCAGATGGTCATGTGCTTGCGTGTACTTCGTAGCTGAATTGGTAAGGCTAATGCTAATCTTGGGGCTGGAAATTGTGAACATCCAGCTGTTTTACTTCGATATCGGAGATGACCAATAATACTATAACACGATTGCAGCTTGGAGGAAAAGTTAGACATTGCCCTCGTGGCTTGGAAGTTAAAGGGTTGACCACATGAGCTGACCATCCTATACTTTTCAAAGGTAATTTCTAATTATCCGGTGGACAGCAAGCGACAGTGACCATTAAGCGGCAATGAACCTCATAGTCAAATCCGTCTACTTATCCAAACATCCCGGTCCCTAATTCACTCTCTCGGTTTCTGGAGATAGTAGAACAACTAAAACTCCTAGAGTAACTCACAGGAGGAAATATCTTCCATCTACCGTCCTGTCTCCATCAACTAACGACCAGGAGCTTAACCGATATATAAGTAGTAGAAAGTAAGTACTATATTCACAGGGTTACATAACAAAACTCCAGGAAATGATCGTAACCATATACTAATACAAGACCTCTCTTCCTTCCTTCATCTCACTCTAACCACCTATCTACCATCTAACTCATCTAACTCATCCAACTCACCTACAACTTATTAAGATTACCCAACTCACCCATCCCCTCTCATCTAATCCCATCCCATCCCATCCCACCTTACCTCATCTCAACCTTCGTCCTCCTAATCCTTGCCTAAAGAGCAATACTTTTAAAATCCAGAATCTAATAAATACCCGATTTCAATATATATATATACTCCCTCGAACCTACTTGTATATACAACATATACGAGTAACATCTAAATAATACTTTATATTAGAAATACTCTAGAAATGGAAGTTAAGAGATCTTAGTATATAGATAGATAGGTATATAGGTAGATGGGTAGGTAGGTAAAAAGGATTCCTAGATTTGGGTTTTTGATTTTTGAAATACCGGTACAGTACTTGGTATGGTTGGTTACTCTAGTGATGTTCTTATGATGTTTTGGAAATTGAGTAGTTGCTACTTAGTAACTTAGATATGTAGGTCACGTTCCTTTCCTCCTTTCCTCCTTCTCCTTTCCCCCTTTCCTCGCTTAAGCTTACCCCAATTTCCCCCACCTCCATCCAAGATTCCCAACTTATACCATGCCACATCATATTCATCAAACACAACAAAGGAACCCCCAATCTATCCATCACAGCTTCGCAGCTTCACACACGGGCAAATCATCAATAAGAATCTAGACGAACGAATATACATTTCTATCAGATCCATATACACTGTACACTGCCAGACAGTATCCAGCCCAGCTTTGACTGTCCAGCTCTGTGATAAGATATACATATACATTTACACTCACTCACTCTCCAACTTTTTACTTCTATCAGACACGTACTCTAACCCATCCCAACTCCATTCCCTTCTAATCTAATCCCCACCCCCAAGCCCATTCAAAAAAAGGGGTCATTAATCATCACCACATTACCACTCCCCCACCAAAAAGGAAAACCTACGTAATCCCATCCAACCCCCTCATCACCTCCTCCCCCAACGACGCTCCCTCCCAAGTACTCAGCATCCCCTCCCAATGATCAATAATCTCCATTCCAACCGGCACACCCGTCGAAGCCGCCGCTCCAGCCGCAGACACAGACACACCCCCCATGCCCCGATTCGCAGACGGTAGAGTATTCATACAATCCGAAGGCATCATATTCGCGAAACTCAGTAGCCCAACCGTGCCCGCACCCGTCGGATTCCCATGTCCATGTCCATTCCAATTCGTACTTCCATTCCCATTGCCTTCCCAACCCCTCTGTCCATTCGCTCCATAGCCATACCCTCTCGTGGGCACCACCCCCGTCTCACGCATCCCCATGCCGAGAAAGCGGCTCTTGTAATGCCCAAACAGCGACGCGACACGACGCATATACAGACTCCCCTCCTCACCGAGTCCCTTGGCGCCCTCCTCCATCATGTGGATCAAGCCGTCGAGGTAGACTTCCACATCGGCGATACTGCGCGCCATACCGCGGTCGAAGCCCGCCGCGTCGAAGTACATGGTTAGCGAGCCGATGATGAGGATGGCGTAGACGAGGCGGATGAGGGCCGGGAGGGTGAAGTCTTCGAGTTGGGCTGAGGTGAGGGAGAGGACTTTGTCGAGGTATTGCTTGGAGGTTTGGAGGGAGAGGAGGAGGTGTGTGGTGCGGAGGGGGGAGGTGTACCAGGAGTGGGAGGCGGTGGAGGGACAGGATTTAAGAGGCGGGCAGGGGCAGGGGGGTGAGGCGTGGAAGCCGATTTCGTGGAGGTAGATTCTTTGGGAGTGGTAGGTTAGTGTTAAGAGAATNGGATTTAAGAGGCGGGCAGGGGCAGGGGGGTGAGGCGTGGAAGCCGATTTCGTGGAGGTAGATTCTTTGGGAGTGGTAGGTTAGTGTTATTGCCGCTGTCATGCTTTTGTCAGTCTCGTTCCTTGACATCTTCGTTTCTTACAAGGATGGGGAAGGAAAGGGGAGACGAACGATTCCTCCATATCTCTTCCGTAAAAGAGGCTTCAATTTGTTTGAATTGCTCCTCAAATCCCTTGATTAGGATCTCGATGCGGGGGGCATCTAATTCGGGCAATGAGACGTGGTTATCGTAATCGAATGTCCTGTTGATATCATCCGCAATCTTTTGAAGACGGATGAAATAAGGGATCAGGTAGTCGGTTTCAGTGACGGAGACTTGGGAGAGGATTTGACAACATTCTTCTCCGTAGTAGTTTAGTGGGATGGGACTTGCTCTTCTCAGACCCTGACAGTAGCTAGACGATGTTAGATTGCATTGTGTGAAGTTGGGGAGAAGGGCAAGTGAACTTACGAAGCGGTCATGTAATATGTCCCAAGGAAGGTCCTCCTCTCTTCCAAATCTATGGAACTGGTTTTTGGTCGTTTTGGTGATCTTAATGGTGTCATCATGTCTAATGGATTGTGGTCTCCATCCGGATGGTTGATATTCAGGTCAACGGCCATACCAGCAGCCATTTGACAAAATTGGTACATCTGATCATTTCTTGGATGGATGTACATATGATACCTACAGTCATTAGCATCACTTCTCACACTACCCCTAGATCCGGATACTCGAAAACAGACAAGTATAACCATAACCCTCTCTCCCACCCAAAATTTCTCTACATCTCACGTCCTCACGGGGAAAAAAGGGAGACATAAAACTCACCAAGCAAGATAAACCAACAATCCCTGCAACAAATCCAAGCTCCTCTCCCCCACCATAATAACTCTCCTGCCCAATTCCGCCTTCAGCTCCCCTTCCAACACCTCCTGAACCCTCCTATTCCTCCCCTGTGCCGAAGTCAAAATAGCCAGCAACAAAAGCGGCCGTTCCCTCCTCATCCCATCAAGGCCCATCGCCTCATCAGGATACAAAACAAAGGGAAAAGTATGAGATTTAGTTTTGAAATATTTTAACGAATCTTCAGCGCTCTCGAAGGATATCATGCCCTTGGAGATACAGTCGTCGAGGTCGTTGAATACGTAGTCTGGAAAGGGAAAGATGGATGATGTGTAGTGGACTGGAGCTTGCAGGCTGAGGTCGAGAGGGGCTGGGGTTGAGTGTGGGGGTCGAGTGTGTTGATGAGTTTGATGCTGCGGTGGGGTGGCAAAACCGCATATTTGGTCGAGGTGTTCTGATAATGTGGCTTGGGCTGGTGGCTCAGTTTGAGAAGGTGTGTTGGCCGATGAAGATGTTGATTTTGGGTGGGTTGTTGAGGATATTGATGGGGTGTGGTGACCATTAGGTGTGGGATTTGGAGATTGGATATCGTGGTTCTGGTTTTGAGTGTTCTTTATGTTTTGGGCTTTTTGATTATTTGCCTCGAGTAGTGCCATTAAACTATTAAGTTTCTCTTCCATTTCCGCAACTCGTCTGTGGTATGATCAGTTCTTAAATTCCAACAATGGGCCGAGAAGGTAATTGGATACTCACATCCTCGAGTTCTTAGCCCTCTTCAGCCTCGGTTTTGCCTCAAGAAAAACACATGTTTTCCTCTCTTTGATACAACTGCAAGCTCATTAACCTCAAAAGCCAAAGTAAACACTATCGTCCACTAACCTCAAGCACCCCCTTCCCTCCTTAGGAACAACACACTTCCCCTTTGAATCCCGACACAACTCACAAGATTTCCTCAATTTTGGTGTTCTCTTATCCCTCATTAGCACTTCTCTCATAGATTTAGCCCGTGTTTCTCCTTCTTGTTGATGAGTGGTCATCGACTCTGTTGGCAAAGTTTCAGTTGATGAGTGCCCATTTGCTCGTGAATGCAAATCAGCAGCTGTCGGCGGCAGTGATATCGAGGATCCCGGCACATGCTGCAAGGGGAGCTGCAATCCCATCCCATTCTCCATGAAATCCGCAAACCAATCCATCATGTCTGATCACCCTGGCTATCCTCAACACGGCCAACCCTCGCTCGTCTTACTGTCGTCACTTGCGTCACTAGGTGACTATTGCTCCTCTCTCACCCTCGCCGTGCCTCGTACTCGTACAGCTCTACCAAAGTAAAGTCTAAATATAGTAACAAACCACGATACCGGTACAATGGGGATGATGCATTGGTGGAGAAAAGAAGAGGTCAGTCAGTTGGGCGAACGGAGAGCAAACAGATTCCGGAAGAGAATAGGTTTATGACGGATTCGAGTGAACAAGTGAGGCGGCAACGACCTTCGTGTTGCAATGGTGCAGTGGGTGAGCATTATGCGGAATATAAGTTAGCCTCCGAAACTCCGGCACCATGAACCCTCAATGCCCCTGGTGCCCCTGGATTGGGAAAGTTCTTTGACGTCGGCAGAACGTTTGGCCGTGGCGGGACAACCATTACGAGGACCGAACTTCGATTTGTTGATAGTTAATATATGACATTCCAGCCCCCTTTTCGCACAAATAGCTCAACATTTACTACTGGTCAGCCTTACAATCATAATACCGCTGCTACCATCTCCTCCACAAAATGGAAGGTAGGTACGTCCCGTCCCGGAGTGCTAAGAATACCTAGGTACTAAAGTGGCACTATTAAGATACTTCGTATATACCGTAGGTGCTTCTAATTATATAGAATCCGCTGTTAACGTCGACATGTATAGGTAGGTATCTTAAACCGCGTACTAGAGATATATAAAAAAGATTAGTACGACGTGTTCAAAAGGGAGAAAGTACAGTACACGATGTAGACGCTTGACTCACAGCGAGGAGGCAACAGCAAGAACAACGGGGGTATCTTCTGACAGTTTGGGGGATTCTACAAGTAGATAAAAGACGTGCACGAGCTTTTTGCTAAAAATCCAATTCTTTGGGGTACGAAGATTCAAAGTCCCAAATCCTTGTCCGTGGATCTCCCGCACCGTCCAGGAGATAGTCCTCGGTTTCGTTTTGGTATTATTCTAATTGTACTTGTAGTTTTACTCTTAGACTACCAGTAAGTGGATAGTACGTAGAAGTAAGTAGCTAGCAGTCTAAGAATACAATTACACTAATACCAAAAGAACCAGAGTAAACCACCTTTACAGTAAGTGGATAGTACTGCTAGGGCCTCCTACGGTAAGGTATAATTGATTAGCTTCAAAAAAAATTAGAATTAGAATAAGTACAATGACGTATAAGACGCGTTTCCAGTCCACCTAAAACACCGCTCAAAGAGAGACGCCGAGTCACCGAGAGTATAACGACAGGAAGCCCAAACGCATTAAAGGAGAACTAAGAAGTGGTAAACTCGTCGGGTTTATAGGTCCAAATCACCTAACGCCGATGTGGCTCTTACAACTAAAGTTTACATAATATAACACATAAATATAATTAAAGCTACTATACACACATCCTCTAACAGTTACTAGGCAGCTGTCTTAGGTACGTAGGTATAATTAATAGTGAGGGTTATAGAGATTTTAGGTAGCAGTAGAAACGATTTCGGCGTTAGGTGATTCAGACTTATGAACCCGACAAGTAGGGGGACGAGCAGAGTTCTTCAGGAACAATGATTTTCTTGGCTCTAGCTATTGCGTACGTAAGGCGGGTGGACAGTTCAAGCTGGATGGGCACTGTTACATACCAGTAGGTCATATGTGAGGAGAGTATGGCTCGCCCAGATCCGAGTCTCTGACTCTGGATTTGATGAGGATTAGGCCAAAGCCGTGATATAGACAGGCTAGGGGTTAGTTCGGAGCTGGCCATCCTTTTTTATAGCTGTTACTGTATTAGGGCAGTGAAATATTGAGATTTATATACAAGGATGTGGTTCCAATTTGCGAAGGAGAAAGATTATAAAATTCAAAGAGACTTACAAGCACAGGTAAAATTGCATTAAGTTAATTCAATCCTAGTCCTATTATTGTGTATCCAACAGCCCCAGATACTACTAAACCCCCACCAATCCAAAAGTCCATTCGCCTAAACACCACTCTTTAGCTCAACCCCTCCCTCGCCTCCATTTCTCTGAGCAGATTCCACCCCAAGAGCTACATCCCCTTCACCACCACTACTCTCCAAAGCCCTCTTCTCCTCAACAGTAAGGTCACTCTTCGCCTCCTTAATTTTCACAAAGCCCACCAGCACCAACAACGCAACACCCGCACACGCAACCTCAAACCAAAAGACCACCTTGAAACTCTCCCTCATTCCTTTCCCCTCCATATACACATTAATCACATCCGCAAAGCCCAGCATAACCGCAATACCTAAATGTAGCAAGATCATGATAACACTGCCGGCCAGGCCCTGTTGGTTAGCGGGTAGCGAGGTAGTGATGAAGATGTTGGTGAGAGAGAAGGTTATGTCGACGCCGATGGTGGCGCATATCATGGCTGGGAAGACATAGGACCAGTATGTCGCCTGTTCAGGTGCGATGGCGAAGAGCAGCGGTGCGACGATCCATGATGCGCCTGCGATGAGGATGAGGATTGTGCCGGGGAGGAGATGCAGGATGAAGCCGCTGAATGTGGAGATCAGACAGCCGCCCACTGCCATGGGGGTGAACCACGCGGCGATCTGGAGGGGACTGGCGCCCATGATGGTTCCCATGTAAAAAGTGCCGTAGAGTAAGAAAATCCCATACGCACCGTATGTGAGGAAGAGGGCAACGATTAGTCCGGGCATGGAGGGTACTTTGAAGAGTGAGGATCGGAGGAGGGGTTCGGGGGCTTGGTAGCATTCTACGTATCCTGCTGAGATTAGAAAGATTGATCCGAGGATGAAGAGCCCGTAGATGTATGGTGTTGCCCACTTCTCGGGGGCGTGACTTGAGTCGATGATGGCAAAGGTAAACATGATGAGACCGCTGACACTGAGCATTGCACCTGGCCAATCCATATTCGGCCTATCAGCCGCCTCTCGCTTCTGTTTGATATCCGAAGGGACACTGAGGTATGCCGTAAAAGCAGTAATGACAGACAGAAGCGTCCCAACGTAGAAGAACCACGGCCATGATATCTTCTCTGAAGTAAGTCCTGCAAAGAAGATCCCGCAATAGTATCCAATCGGAGCACAAGCGCCGTAAATGCTGAATACAATGTTCTTCCGCGGACCTGGTCTGTAGATACATCCTAGTATCATAAGACTAGCAGGTAGGAAAGCAGCAGGTCCCAGGCCTTGCAAAGCACGACAGATGTTGAGCATAAGTCCACTATTTGAGAATCCAGCAATGAGACTCCATAGTGCTAGCCAAGCGAAGCCAGCAACATATAGTGGATACCCTCCGTACATGTCGGCGAGCCTTCCAAATATCAAGAGGAAGGACGCGATAGTCAGAGAAAATGCGCTTGCTGGCCATGTTGCCGATGCTTGGTTGATGTGGAGGCTTTTTGCAAGGGTTGGTACAATGACAATGAAGCCTGATAGGAAGTATTCCTGATTAGGTCAGTCCATGGCTTCTAGTTGTAGGACTAGGACTCTTACCGCAAGGATCTGCGACATAGAAATCGAAAATACAAAACCTATTTCTGACCAGATAGAGCTGAACATCTTCGGTCTTTCTCTGCCAAGACGCTCAATCATAGCTTCGGTAGTTTCCCCAGGTTCTCGGACCCAGGAAGGATCATTGTTATCCCCATTGGAAGCTCTGATATCAGTGTCTTCCAAGGTTGTTGGTGCAATTGGTTCTTTCTCCATAATGACTTCCGCTATACTTGGAAATGTCCCATTATGTTGAAAAGATCTGGCGTTCTTTGGAATCTTGGTACGCTTCCTGGAATGAGAGACAACAGACTTTCCTTTTCTATCCGAAGAAGTGGAGGCTGTGTTGATGGGTTCGATTTGCAGCGACATGTTGTTAATTGACACAAACCGAAATAAGATTTTATAAAAGACCAAGATCAGCCGAAAGATTAGATTAATATCATCCGAAAGATTGAATACGAGACCGCAAAAACACAGAGGAAGACGAGATAAGTAACGATATCAGGACGCGTTATATATAACACCAAAACCTGCGCCATAATATATAGTGAATGTTTCGTTCAAACCCATATCTTACCTCACCAAACGGGAATTCCTTCTAGGTATTTATGGATTCCAATCATTTCAAAATCCGTGCCGTCAATTGACGGACTAGAACTTCTTTGACTATGATGACCCGGTTCAAAGTCGCCGGGACTAGGCTGTTACTTGATGAAAATGGGTGGCCACCAATGGCACTAGACAACCAATGGCGCCAGGATCACTCACTTTGCTAGTCACTAGATCCGAACTCCTAGTCCGACGATAATGAACCGTTTCGTCAGGTACAGAGTTGAGGCTCTGTTGGTTTTTTGGGACTCGGTTGTCCGTAGTGGTTAATTATTGAATCCCGGGTGGCGGAATTGAGCCCGTGAAGGAGGGGATAAATTGGAGAGATCGCATTTTGAGGAAAGTTCAATTTGACTTGAAAGGTAAATCTCACAACATCAATAGAATAATGAGTCCAAGTCTTGGTTTACCACTTCCCTCATTTCAAGTCGATAGGTAGTTTCATTCCAAAATAAATCACCACAATCACGTGAAAATGCTCAAACCAACCCCCTCACGTGCCCTCCGCCTCACTACGCAAAACTTTCCGCACCATTCCCAAAGTAGCCTAGCGTCCACTCGCCGCCCTCACACTACAAATACCCCGTCTCCCCTCGCCCTCCCTTCTTCCCTCCTCATCATCAGTAGAGGTTATAATTAATACTTATAACATTTATTACAATGGGTGCTCCACTACGGTGGCTGCTGAGGGTTATTCGGCCGCAAGGCCAAATGGGTTTTCCTCCGTTCCCGGCTCCCTCGAAGAAAGGTGAACGCTCTTTCCTACCAGCCGACTTCGCCGATTCTCATCGGAGGTTGACTGTGGGGTGGTCGCTACATATCATATTTCGAAGCGTGTGTTTGCAGGAGGTTGGATGAAGGATCGATCTGGATGTAGAGCAAGGCGATGACTTGGATGGTCTCGATGATGTTGTGCTGCTCGTAATTGTGCTGTGATCTGGATACGCCAAAAGGTTCGTGTGACAATTTGCATTGTGAGCTTTTGCCGCTTGCTTGATCTCGATGGAAGATAACTCTACGGAAAGTTCATAAGACTCGTGAAAGTTGGTGAACCATACCAGAGCCTCCAAAAGGCAAATTGCGTTCAACGACCTAAAGTCTCTTCTGTCGTGCTGGAGCGGCATGTCATATTTCATGTCGCAGCACCCTGCCTCTCAATTCTACCGCACGTGTTTAGCAATCTTTGTAAACCCAAGCCTCTGAAAACCATAGTCTTTCTGTTGCAAAGTTGGGCTCTGCTATTGAGCGCTCTGAAGCAAAGCTTGACAATTGGAAGCCCGTGTGGCTGTTGGAAAGGCTTACAGGCCATCATATTTTGAGCAATGTCTCTGTGCGATCCAAATCTGGAAGACTTGAACTTGCCATTCTTGAGGGTCTACTGTAGGCAATTTTCTGCCGTGCTTGTGTATGCCAACGGCAAGTCCACCGCAGAGAGCTTCTCAAGTCTTTCCTTGAGTTTAGTGCCTGTTGTAACGAATTGATGGCACTTAGGAATATCTTATCAGCAAATGCCTACAAGCTAAATCAAACAATATCAAACACAAGTCACAATCTCAATACTCGTTTAATTGTCATTATTCATGATCTTTGCTTGATTGGATTCCTATCTAGCTTCTCGCAAAAATCTCTTCCTCTCTCTGCAAACAGCTCAACAAAGAGTGCTCAACAGGTCAGCATGACTATGTATATCTAGTAGATGCGCTTTGGTGGGGACATGGATGCCTTGACAGTCAAGGATCCAACGTTTTGCCAGCCCTTCTTCAACAAGGAGACGAGATAGTTGATGGCCAACATGATGTTGGAGATCAATTGGTCCTCAGTCATGCCAACGTTTCCGACAGCAACACCCATACACAAGACCTTCTTCAATTGGAATTTGATGGTGGACTTGACCTCGTTGATCTTGCCGCTCAAGTCCTCGTTGTGGGAGACTGGGGTTGGGAATTTACCGGCTGTCAAGATCGATTAGTTTGCGTAGCACGAATGCGATAGATATGAATGAGCTTACCCTTGGAAAGACCAGGACCCAAGAGACGTGGGATTTGTTTGATAAGGGTGTCGGAAGCGACGAAGGCATCGTACTTGCGTGCGAGCTTCTTGATCAACTTCTTGTTCTTGTTGAGCTTCTTCAAATCGTCAGAAGACATGGCATCGATTCCACCGTGCTTGGCACGATCGATATCGTGTTGATCTCCGAGAATGCTATCATTGTACCGTCAGTCAAAATCCTTTCCTGGTATATCTTTCTGCCTTGTATGTGCGGCGGTGGCGAAACGTACCAGATGCTCATTCCTGGGCGGGGAACAACTGGGAGACGGATGGTTCCAGAGAAACGCTTGTCACGCTGAGGATCATAGTTCTTGAGGCCGATTTGGAGTTCGACGGTTTCGAGGAAGTTTCTCTTCTTGGTTTCGAGAGAGTACTCGAGGAGACTCTGGACGTTGGTACGCACTCCGGCTGTGGTGCGACAAATATTAGCAGACGCCCTTTTCAATGCGAAGTATTCGGAGCTGATGGCATAAACGTACCGACTGTGATTTTAGACATGATGACAGTCTTCCAGTAGAATGGATTCTAATGGTGAGGATTCTGCGTAAATTTGTCGTTGATTGATTTCAAAACTTTTCGATTCAAATCGCCTTTGTGGGTTTCTCCCCGCTGACTTGCGGTGCCGGCTTGGCATTCGGCCGGCGAAACATATACCCGAGCCAAAGTCGCCTGCTCAGGTCAGCATTTTTGAGGTGAATTACAAAATGAACGAATCCGCCGCAGTGAATACCACAGCTTAAAGGTTGCATTCTTTTCCAAAAGGTCTCATGCTAGAAATCGAGTATATAGACTCTGCATACGAGGTATGGCATCATCTAGAGCCACGTGATGTACCTAGGTATCTTCAACCCAACGTGATAAACGAAGACGAAGTCTGCTATGCCATCAACTTGGACAGCAGAAGAACAATACAGCCTGGTTTTCAATATTTACTAGGAAAATATTATATTGATGATTATAATGAGGGTATGTGCGATGCTCTGTTGGAATTAAGCGAGAGTACCAAATCAAGATACGACCTAACATTTGCTTGAATGGACTTCCTGTACTCATTTTTTTCTTAAAAGTCAATTGACCTTATTTTGTTTCCCAGCGATTAAACGTTTACAGTTGAGAGCATACGACCGCCATTAGCTCATCTTGCGTAATACTTTATAAACAAAACGCACTACATTAATGGAAACAAATCCTAAGTAAGGTTAACCTCCCCGGGAACTTCAACAACGTTGAAGGTAGGTTTTGCTTCGAGCTGTTATCGAGTGAAGAGAGGAAGTTGTGTGAGCTCCAACTAAGACCCTCGAAAGAATAGAAGACCACTAGTTCACTTGGCAGTTTGGTTTGCTAGTTCCAGCGTTCGGCAACTGGAATTCCATTCCATACCAGACCCCCCCTTTGGAATATACCATGCCATTCATACTAATCTCTGGAATATACCATTCCATATAGGGTAGTTCCATGGCATTCCATGGAACAAAGTCACATGATGCGGAGTAAAGTTTCCCCGTCCGAAGACTAATAGAAATTCTCTTTTACCTAGCGCTAAGGGTTAGTGAATAATATTATTAGGAATAAGCTATTAGCCTATCTTGTGCTTTGGAATTCCATCGTTCCATGGAATTCCAGAACCTATTCGATGGAAATAAGTGTGCTATTTATAAGGACCTCTAACAATATTCCATATGGAATGGAATTATGGAATCTATGGAATCGAGTACCATTTGCCGAACGCTGGCTATTTCTTAATTGTTTCCCACATTTGTAATTACAAGAAATTTGCAACAAGTCTCTAATCTACCCACTTCGATGGATCTACACTGTTGGGAAAATTATTTTGATGGTTCTGAAAGACTCGAATATAAATCCTGTGAAATATTGGGACACGCTGCTGTAGAAGAGATAACGTTCTAGGACCGCCGATGGTCACGAATACCAGTGTGTGTTAGATATTTATTTGGCTTGAGCGATAGATACGTAATGAAATGATTTTATTGTTTCAATTGACACCTTAAGAATCTACTATTGTAGATTTCCTTATAAACTCAACTTTGTTGTTCCAAACTACCTAGGTTGATAATAATATATTAACTTTGATTGTTCAACATCGCTCTGTGCTATGGTAACCCTCAAATCCACCTTGTCGTCAAATTCTTTTTTATAACTGTCATACCATAGAATTAAGAGTTACTATTATGGTAGTCACAAATACGATAGTCCATTCATAATACGCTTTTGTTATAGCTTTACAAGGCGCGGAACGAGTGGGGTGGTAGGTGTACGCGTTGAATAAGGAATAGATATAGCTTGTCAACACTACAACAACAGCTAATCTATATAAAGGACTGTGCCTGGTTCTTGACTTTCCTAGTACCCCGATCTATCCACTCTACTTACTCGGCCAGTCGCCTTCTATGCCGGACGTAAACCAAAGGCGAAACAATCGTATCTAGGAATAGCTTTACTTTCTTTTGCTTAGGTATATATATAGGACTTGTGTAGCGTTATTGTACTTTGATTACTAGGTTTACATTATTTACTTTCTAGGTGAGGGGTGTGTGTTTTAATTAAAAATTAGCATTTATTAATAATTAAAGTAACGAATATTTCGGAAGTCAAAAACTTTATCTATTAGTAGGAGAATTCTATCATATGGTCTAATTGACGAATTACCGTTAGTGTTAACGAAATAGTCGATTTAAGGGTTACCATAGTACTCCGTACAGCTCGCAAAATAATTTTAGTTATGCGAGATTTTTTGAATAATATTGTTCAACACTTGTTATATCCAGAGTAACAACGGCCTAGCCTCTATTGGTAGATCTTCTGACTGCATTTGACTTTTGAATAAGCTAATGGATGCCTCTCAAGGGTTCGAGCGTGTAAATGTTTCTTTGATGAAGACATTATTGGAAGTTTAGCTACAGCGGGGTTTTAGTAACTAGGCCGCATCTTAGTTTAAGGTTCAAACACTAGTAATATCTTTCGTCGTATCCACGATAGGCTACAACTTAAAAATGATAATTCACATCCTTGGCTACATTTAAGGGGAAAGCGTCGTAGGTAGGGAGATGTCGTTCGTGCTATTGATTTTTATTGGTGCGCTTAGCAACCAACACTCTGACTGGGACTTAGAGATCCTCCTGACTTTTGGTATGTGCGGGGTAAGGTTGCCCGCACCTCAAATCAAATGACTATTGCTTGAAAAGCCAAAAACCATCACTGGCTAGTTGCTGAAAATTCAGGAGGCTTTTTCTTCAAGAGGAATGAAGCTTAAGATATTTGCATTTGCACGGCAGCTTATCTATTCTCAATTACTTCCAAAAGAGCCAAACGAAGCGATTAGCCAAAGCAATACAAAAGTTCGTTACCAACGGTTCAAGAATCACTTCAGCTACCATCACTTACCCCTCAAATCCCCACCAGCCTCCCCTCACACAAGCTCCATCCCCTTACCTAAATGCAAAGCCGAAGTGCTGTCTCGCTGCACATTATCATCTATCTCCCCTCGTACATACCCCACTACCCCACAGTCTTGGAAAATGGAGCAAGAAGCCTGTGCGGTCCTCACACAATACCCACCGTGACAAAGCCACACGAGTCATTTTGCAAGCGGATATGCGAGGCTTTGGCTTTGACCATCTCTTGAGTGAGGCTCCGTACGAATACATTTGCAAAAGTGGAATTTGGAAAAGTGTTGAGGTTCTTTGCTTTTCTTAGCGATGGGAATTGTGTTGCGCTCGGGTGTTGTTGAAATGATGCGTGGATTTTATGGGGCATAAGTTTGGATACATTATGCTGGTAAGACTTACTGGTAAATGGAGAGGCAGGTCCAATTTATCTTTGGGAGTGTGAGGGGTGTATTGTGATGAGTGGCTGGGCTTGGCGGAAGAGCTTTTTCTTTGAAAGAGATGAGAGAATAAATACCTCCAGGGCAATTGCCTACGAAATAGTGAACGAAGAGAGTAATTTACTAATTCCTAAGTCTGAACCCCATTTCTCTATCGCTCTTTTCATCTGCGCGATGTTCGAAGGCCGCTGCCCTAAATCTAGACTTGTTTTTAAATGAATCGCGCTTTAGACCAAGTAGCCGTCCATACAGTAAAAATGTGCTTATGCTACTTCTCATGTTGAGCTACAAAGCCTTGCGCTGTCGTCAACTATCCCCTCCACAGATTCCACACCCAACATGATAAAAAAACCGTGCACTTCTAAGTGGAGTGTAAGTACCCACTTTAACAGCCTTTTCTCCATAGAACAAAGTCATTCATTCAACCATGAGCTGTATCCATGCTTTTGAGCCTTAATTCGACCCATTATTGCATCTACTTATACCCACTTTGGGTGCACGTTCTTTTTGATCATGCGGAGTGTGGAAGTAATAATAGATGTAATATAGAATGTGTTAGTCTGCTTTTCTCTCGCTCTCCATGTCCAAGACATAGGTGGATATTCTGCGGAGAATTGAAGCGATAGCAAATGGTAGCATGTAGCTTCTTTGTTGTTCTACGTTTCTAGATTAATCAAGGCCATTTACCTAGATACTTAGGGTATTTGCTTTGATTCTCCTAGGCCTTTAAAATAAGAAATTCATTTGTTCTTGATAGTCGGTATAATCTTGCAAAGAAGTTGGGAGAAATTCGAGTCAAGGATAAGAGACCCCGAATAGAATTCCATCAGTAAGGTTCTTAACCTTAGCGAATAGCCACGGTTATATGTGGCAGATAACTATTGAAGGCAACCGTAACCAAAAGGAAACAATGACTATATCGAGACTTCCCTTGAAATGCATACCTGGCTCAGATCTCGTTCTAGACCCAAAGGCTTTTTTTTCTTTTTGAGAAAGCCCTTCGAGGGAGACACTCAAAAAAGTCAAAATCCAACAAGGAACATGAGAAACTGGAATAAGACAACAGAACTCGTATCCCAAAACGTGCGATTATGAGTAGTCTAGGGGCGATGATTGGTATATTCGGCTGATTCAAAGCGTTTGATTCCGCAAGTGGCACCAGATTTGGAAGGGGAAAAATATCAATATCTGTTCAAGGAGTGACCTTCCATGGTAACAATTTAGCTATTAGCGAAGCCAAAATGGTGAAACAATATTGTGGTTGCTTGCCGCAACCGTTAAGCCACCAGTTGGCTGACCGAGAGAAGCATTTGGGGTAAGTAAATCGAGGAAAGAAAAAGAAAACTGATGAGGCTGGAGGCAAGAGTGCCTAAAGAGATCAGTGCATATACCAATGTACAATAAGCCTGTGTCCCAAATCAAGACGTAGAAACTCTCATTGGCGTGTCCCATGATATCGCAGGACATACTTGAATCGGGGAAGCGTAAATCGAAAAATAATACGGTATAACGGCAACCACGGATAACAATCGTGATTGCTTTGGCACGGATGATTCAAGCCTGGAAGACTTGCTGCAATTGCTCGCGTGTTGTGGACATTTGCTATACATGCCGTAATACGAAGCATCAGCTGCTAGAGGCATGAGACATCGATTAGGAGGTACGTGCCGAACCTTCTATTCGTACTTTCTCTTGACGTGAAAGAGTTGTAGATACTAAGATACAATGCGAGCAGGAAACCGAAAGCGTTCAGACAGTATGTTGAAATATCGAATTTCCGGAACAGAGCGAGAATCCGAGTTGCGAAGGGACTAAACCGATGCACGCGGGAAAAGCGTAGATTCAGTAGTGGTCCAGACCTAAATGTGATAGTGAAAAGACCATAGCAACAATACTAGTAATCTCAAATAGAGGTATCCGGGAAAAGCGTGTTGCACTTCGTCCCAGGTATAACAATTGTAACTTTTTTAGAGTAGCTTCAGTGGAGTACAGGGTAAAACACCCGTAAAGTTATAATTGTTATGCCTGGGACAAGGTAGAGCACCCTTCTCAAATCCTCCACTTTTTTCCATACAAGAGCGAAAAGGCCTTCCCTGCAGGCTGCCGCCCAATCAATCGATAACTCTAGTGCGAATAAGCACTTTAACAGAACCTCACGATTCTCAATAGCAAGGTTCCCCGCATTCCCCAGTTTCGAATCAAGACTTCTTGAAGAAAACATAAAGACACAAGAGGAAATGAATGAAGGAAGAGCGTAAAAATACGAGTAGAAACTCGTGGCTCCATGTCCGAGCGTCTGAAGCAGGAGAAGGAATAAGCGAACAATGGGAAAGAATACAATTACCAATATCGACATCCAAAGAATGGTCTAGGTTCTCCGCATTACAAATCGAGTCATCCGGAAGGAAGTTTGGAAAACTGAGTGATATAAACGGCGTAAAGACTAGAATTAGATATACGCCCCGAGGAGAGGCTGGGGAAACGCCAGCGCTTCGGAGGAGATTGTGGATATGCACGTAGCTTTCTGTGGGTACATCTTGAGCGGAAGATAGACATCTAGGATTGGGGCTCGGAGGATAGATTGTAATTGGGGGGACTCCTGGATCGAGCTTCGAAAAGAAGGTAGCAATATTGGATAATCTGTTTCGATTTCCCAGGTTCACGGAGAAGACACAGTTCAGGATTGTAATCTCCTAACTTCTATGAGTTGTGGAATAACACCAGGTTTAGCCATAGGCACATGCTTTTTTGCTTTTCTTGGAGGAAGATGTCAGCGGACGTAAGCCATCGGATTTGGGGACGGCTTGCGGCTTTGCGGAGCAGGTGGGTGGGTTTAGGCTGTAATACATGGGTGGTGCTTAGGTACTGGTAGCGTTTCTTGGAAGGATTCCTGCTGACTGCCTATGTGATGTTATTAGGAGAGTTTTCAACACGAAGGGAATTAAGGTGACCAAAGCAAGAAGTTCAACACCGAATAGAATGTCGTTGCTTCTCTGAAACTGTGCTCCACTGATCACCTTTCCCCATCATTGGCATCAGCGGTGAGAACAAACGGCGGTGGCAATCTTGAAGTGATTCTCAGTCTGTCGACACGTAAAAATCCAGGAGAAATTCTTTGGAAAATACATTGATACCGAGGTCTGCCTCACGGGGAAAACAAAGACTCTTTATGCATGTGAATTCTTAAGAAATCCAAGCTAAAGCTGCAAATACAAGTGTCAGTATTGGATAGATCGGGTGAAGGATTCAACTCACAAGTCACTCGACCGTGGTGCATCGACTCTCAACAAGCTCCTCCAATCCCAACCACGCTGTCCCTGTCCATCCCCTGTTCATCCCCAGATTACCCCGCACCTCCCCCACACCCAAGCAATCCTTGCGGATGATTTGTTGTATAGACGTATTTTTCAAGAATGAGAGTTCCGGAGTACAGGACGAAGGAAGGATTTTGAAGTGTAGATCTTTTCGCTCTGGAAGAGGCAGCTGCTAGCCAAGTTGAGGCTTTTTTAGATATCAAAGAAACCAGAAAGACTGCGCAGGACTTGGGTGTGGGAAAAATAATCACAGTTTGCGCGGCCACACTGCATCCTCAAACACGTCGAACTCTGAGGCCCGCAAAAACCCGCACAAACCCCATACTATCGCCCCAGGCGACATGGGAATAGGGGAATACCCGCAGAAGAAGAGATCGGTACCAGTACCCAGAAAAAAAAAGAAGCCAGAGGTTAATCGTCGGGTGCCTGGGGCTCCCATTCGGCATCCAGAGCCGGAGACATCGACCGAATCTGGTACCTTTCCCGCTCACCTAGTAATGTGCCATGTCCCTGACAGTGCCATTGTGCGAGGTCACTGGCAGTCTGACTTCGTATGCCTGATATGCGCAGCCACGCTCCTTGATTGTGGATCGATGTGGATCGTTGTAAGGGAATTATGGAAATGTCGCTATTCGCAAAGGACGCCCGATCTTCTTTTTCCCAGGGCCTCGTGGAAGGAGGAAGTTCGGACCCTGCTAGAGACGTTGAGCCCCACCCAATCAGAACGCGGGCAATCCGGTCTTGACTATACACCTAGTTGAATCTCACCAAAATCATAGCTCAATCTAAGTGAATACTGTAGTTTTCACAAACCTGGACGTCGTTCACTCAGATGCCTTTACCCCAGAGTGAACCGGGATCAGCAGGACAAGCATGGTGTTCGCCATGGGCCAGGAAGTTAAGCTTGTTTAACAAAGTCCACCAAAGACATCTGACAAAATGCATATATACTTCAGCAGAAGTCCCCATTCATTGGGCTCGCCATCTTCAGTGCTTTACTGCATCAGGCTTGAAGTCTACAGAAAACAATTAAAGTAGACCTTCCAAAGTCTCAGTCATGAAGTTCATCTTTACTCTTCTGGTCGCCCTCCCCGCAGTCCTTACTGCCCCGGTTCTTACTGGCCCGGTTGAACGCGCAGAAGTTCCAGTGGGACCAACGGTCACTATCACTTCACCTCCAGCAACCATCATTGGAAAAGTGTCTTTGACGGAGGGCACTGAAAAATTCCAGGGGATTCCCTTCGCCCAACCCCCAGTAGGCGAGCTTCGCTTAAAGCCACCACAACGACTCAATGGCTCTTCCCTAGGGACTGTGATCGCGCAGGATAACTCACCAGCTTGTCCTCAGATGTTCTTCACCACTGATACCAGCAATTTACCTGCTGGCATTCTTGGTGTTCTTTTGAAGTACGTTATTAATTCGTCTTTACGCGAAAACCCTTACGACAATTTGTTATTAGCTTAACACTAACAATGTTAGTACCCCGCTTTTTCAAACAATCACCAATGCTGGAGAAGACTGTTTGTATATTGATGTATTCAGACCCGTTGGAACGACTGCCGATGCAAAGCTTCCAGTGATATTCTGGATTTTCGGTGGTGGTTTCGAGCTAGGCGGAACAGCTATGTAAGAAATAAACATATTCCCCTGCAAGTGATAGTCTTCTAATCTACCTAGGTATGATGGAACGAGCCTAGTCGACGAGTCAGTTGCGATTGGGAAACCTATCATTTTTGTTGCCGTAAATTACCGTACTGGTGGTTTCGGTTTCATGCCTGGAAAGGAAATCATGGAAGAGGGCTCTGGAAATCTTGGCCTACTAGATCAAAGAATGGGTCTTGAATGGGTAGCAGATAATATTGCAAGCTTCGGAGGAGGTGAGAACGTTTCCGCAGTATCAACTTGGAGAATCCACTGACCAAATCAGATCCCTCCAAAGTAACCTTATGGGGAGAATCGGCGGGAGCTATTAGCGTAATGGATCAAATGGTACTCTTTTCTGGAGACCATACCTACAAGCAAAAGCCACTCTTCCGCGCTGCAATCATGAGCAGCGGTACACTGGTTCCAGCAGATCCACTGGATTGCCCCAAAGGGCAGAACATTTACGATACAGTTGTCCGGACATCAGGGTGTGATTCATCGGCCGATACCTTGGCGTGCCTTCGAGGTTTGCCTTACAACGACTTTTTGAATGCAGCAAATTCGGTTCCTGGAATCCTGGGCTACAACTCTGTATCATTGTCGTATCTTCCAAGACCTGATGGAATTGTTCTCACCAAGTCTCCCGAAACGTTGATCGCAGAAAAGAAATTCGCAAAAGTGCCATTTATCGTGGGGGACCAAGAAGACGAAGGAACCATCTTCGCTCTTTTCCAGTCCAACATTTCGACAACCGCACAAGTTGTAAATTACCTCACCTCGATTTTCTTCCATAGCGCAAGCACCGAACAAATGACCTCAATTGTGAATACCTACCAAGATCAAGGGAGCGAAAATGGTTCACCATTCGGAACGTTCAGTTTCAACAACTGGTATGGACAATACAAAAGAATGGCGGCAATTTTGGGCGACCTCACATTCACATTGACCCGCAGACTTTTCCTGAACGGAATCGGCACTGAGGTTAAAAGTTGGTCATACTTGTCGTCTTACGCCTTTGGAACCCCATTTTTGGGAACGTTCCATGCAAGTGATTTGATCACGGTGTTTTACGGAATTCTTCCGAACTACGCCACACATGCGATAAGAAGTTATTACTTCTCGTTCGCTTACTCCATGGATCCCAACGCGGATTCTGACTACCCAGAGTGGCCAGAATGGAGTAAGAAGAAGGAACTCATGCATTTTGAAAATGACAGTGGAGTTCCTATGGCAGATGATTTTAGAGCGGACAGTTACGATATGATTGAGTCATTGGTGGACGTTCTTCGTCTGTGAGGAAGAACTAGTTTCTGGGAATGGAAAGCTCCGTGGAAGCTTATGATGGGTATCTCGACCATGTTGGTTTGGGAGATACGCCTCGGAAATGAATAATAGTAGCCTAATTTAATGCTGAAATGATAATATGATCTTGATCAACATCTATCTCATGATCACGCAACTGTACGTTCTGGAGTTATCTGACATAGGAACTCTATGGTCATTTTTATAAATGTATCAATTCCTTCTTCTTACTCTTGAATCGATTATTTGGGATACATTTGTCGCGAGGTCGCTTAACGCTGCACGCACAGACACAACGTAGCCGACTCCTATTTTTCCTAGCACACTGCTACAAGCCACAACCACCAAAAATTTACTACAGTACAAATAAATCTTAACACAACGCGAGCTTAAAGATAATACGCTGATTAAGGCATTGGAACCTTGTCTAGTTACCCGTGGGTTAGGAAGGTTAGGGTTCAGTGTTAAAGTTAGTGGAACATCCCTACGCATTTTCAGTCCTAGTCGGAATAGACAAGAAGTGGACCTCAAGTGAATCCTAAATAATTGATTCAATGTTAAGGGCCCTTTGAATCTGCTACCGAACTCAGTATCCTATCCAATGACATCGGATGCTCTAAAAGCCGACGATTGCTCAATTCGGTTTCGCCGAAGCCAACATGCTGTTGTGAGAGTGCGGCTGCGGCAGTGAGGCTGAGGTTTTGAGATATTAATAAGATTTCCCAGGTGATGTTACGAATAGAGAATGTGGCAGTGTACGTATTTTTGCGGTACGGATTACGGTAATTGATATTTTCCCAAGTTGTCAGGACGAAGTTATCTTACGATTTGCGAAAAGTTGAGGCTCAAGGCTGACGTCAGAAATTCGGTTGAGGTTTTCGATTGTTCTTTGGCTTTTCTGGAAGCTCGGGTACCCGGGCTCCGGGTAAGGCTGCCCTTTAGTAAGCGCTCGCCAAGACCTTCCTCCATCCAACCATAAGATCAGATGGCCACCTACCATTCCCACTCCCAGGTTGTATCCCTCCAATGGCTGAAGTGTCAGAGAAGGTCATGTTGCCATTCTTCCCACAGCTTCTATACGCTAGTAATACAAGGTTTAGTGAATCATCTTTCCATTTCTCATCCTCCCCCTTATTCCGTTCTCTCCGTTGCTAACAACATCTCAACCTCCCATCCTTCAATCCCTCGGGCTCCTGCTAAGAACCCCCACCAAAAACAACTCCAACACCTATTTTCTTTTGCGCTGACAAGATGGTCCTCCTTGCGGGCTTGGAAATCGTAGCAGCAGGCTACCTGCTCAAAAAACATGTCAAAAACAAAAAGGAACGGGCGCGCCTCGAGGAAGAGAGCTTGCGACTTGAAGAGGAACAATACCATCTCTTCCCACCACAAGGCGAACGCCGTCACCAGCGATCGCACAGCGAGAGGCGGGATCCGCGCGAACGACGAGACTCGAAAGATAGGAGAGACTCGAGAAACCGATGGAACTCGTACGACCGTAAAGATTCCCGCGACTCTCGCGATAGAAAATCGAGGAGGGATAGGGACACTACAAGGCCTGCTTCCACATCTCCTGTTCCACCATACAAAGCTCATTCAGCTTCTCCACGTCCACATATCCAGAGTTCTCAACGGCCTGTACAACAGCCGTACGTGCAACACATACCTCAGCACGTTCCTCGACCACCCACCCAACCGATTCCTCAGACTTTCGTCCACCCAGTGCCAGTGCCACACCCGCAAGTGCAAGTGCAGGCCCAGACCCATTCCTACCCACCCGATATAAAATACGGTTGGACCGATGACCAATCCTCCTCCTCATCTCAAGAACCAGGGTTTCCACCAACTGGATGGCCGGCACATTGGGAACAATCACGACGACCCGAACCAAACTCACGCCCGACCTCCCGAAGTCCCTATCAAACCCCCAACATGTCTCGAACGAGCACGGAAATACGACCCAACGAATCGCGAGTCCGATTCGCGGTACCTGACGATTCCGTGCAGCCTGGTGAGCGTCGACGTAGTAGCAGCAGCCGTAGCCGCCGACGCAGTTCCAGCAGTGTCTCGCCACCTCCCTATCGACCATAAACACCCAAAGTGAGTAGTTATGCTGATTAGAAAGGCGATGCCGAAAAATACTGGCATCTTGCCTGTATTTTTCAACATGATGTCGACATTTAGCGTTTGGGAATATTTGCAAGCAAGGATATAGGATTTCCGAATTTGGTTGGTGGGAATGGTGGGATACCCTTGGGACATGTTTTTTGGTATTTTGAATCAAACTGGTTGTTATGATAGAATGCAAGATTTGTGAATAAGAACCGGGCAACTATCGGTTGCTGGTACCAGTACTTTATCAGTGCAGGTGATTTCATCAAGGTTCAATTTGAACCTATTTAGTTTCGGTACCTTGCTTCAGTAAGAGACCTATCCATCTCTCTGGCCATACGTTAAGGACCAATTCGACTTCTCAAATCACTTGGGCTAATAAACATATGGTGTTGTGCTGGATCCACCGTATCACCTGATGTGGAATCCACTTATTCATTATTGTATTATTATTTGTACAGCGTCCGTATTGAGATACGGCTCCACCTCTCATTTACCCCTTTCTTTCTCATTTGCCCCTTTTTCCTTCTCTTATAAATACTCTGTACAATAGCTTCTCAAACAATCAATCAATTCTCCATGACCTTCAGTACACCACACTCTTCAGCCCAACATATGGTTATTCTGATTATCCCAAATTAATCGTACAACTATAATCATTATACGAGGCTTTTGGATAATATCATTCTAACCTAGATAGCTATGTTCAGAATAAAAATTACATCTCTTACCCTTTCACTCCAACTTCCAAGTCACCATGTCGTGTTACTCTTTATCTTTACGCTTTACGATACTACTGTTTACCTACGTGATATCATTCCTTCTTGTAAGCTTACATGTGCGAGATATCTAAAGAAGAGTTACAGTAAGCAGCCAGCCGGTCCTAGTTCATACGGCGCATTAAGTAATCGTTAGAGTAAAGCGCTCGAAAGACCCACGCTTTCATGCCCTCAGTAAGGCAGTCAAACCAAATTATTCGTGCGCTTTACACCTTAAGAACAGGAGCAAAATAAGCATAGTAAACTGTACTAAGTGCCCTTTTTGCCCGATTTAGAATCGTAGTAGATATAACAGGGTGCCGGCCCTTAGGTATCTTTTCGTAGTCGCGCTAGCGATAGACTTAAGCTCGTTCAACTACTGATAAATTAGTATAAACGTCTGGATTTAGGCGAGGTGTCTCTGTGGGGGGGGGGTTGGGGGTTAGACGTAGGCAAACCCGAAGGAGAAGGAATATAATTAGAATCTGGATTAATAGGATTAGATTCAAGGGTTAATCAATTAAAATGGGTCGATTTGGCCTACTAGACCTGGAAGAAAAAGAAGTAAAAGGCGAGATATTTATAAGGACCAGCCTTAATTGTTTGGTGTTTAGAAGGGTGGTATCCCTGTATATATATAAACTTAGAAAACACTTACAAACTAAGGCTAACTTAGGTGTTTGTAATTAAGATAGCGCGAAACCCTAGCTAACACTACTCTAAGGTAAGAGGCCCATTGTGCTAGAATTCCTGGAATGATCAATGTAATTGTTCTAAATTAAATAGGTTAATCGAGATATATGAGTTTAAATTGTTCTACATGGCTCGCATAATGGATTTGGTTGTGCGAGGCTTTTGGGATAATTGGGAGATGGCTTTGGGGGTATGGGCGTGTTTGGAGTAATAATTGCGTCTCTTACTGGATGGGGGTTTGTGGAGATATCAGTAGTGTACGAAAGCTTATGGGTAAATCGTGGAATATGGATGGGGTTTTTGTTGTGGATGGGCGGGGCGGCTAGGAGGAAGAAGAAGGATGTGTTGGAAGGAGATGGGTGTTGTTATTTTACCTGGAGAAGTGTCAAGGTAGGGAGGGGGTTGATGAATAGATTGTTCGCAAAGCTCTCCAGTCTACAGTTCGAAGCTGAATTACATACAACAGGGGTGGTCCAAGCACTCCCCGTGACTTCCAAAGCTACCATATTCACTTAATCAAAAACCTTTGCAAGAAGCCGGTGTTAACACTTTATATGTCCACATATAGAAATAGAACAGCCTTGAGTGGTCTTGCTGTGATTGAGTAAATTCCGTGAAAAGAGTATCTTAGTAAAGACTTTCGTTAGACTATTCGTCTTTTGAGACCTTTTGGTTGGAATGGCGTATAATGCCATGAAAATTGGGATGACGGCAAATGACTCTTCAAGTCCTGTAGCCTGTGGGGAGGCATTGATGAGAATGCTGTTCTCTTTATTCTTTTGGGTGATGGCGATTTGAAGGGAACATTCAAGATACTTGTTGGGGCTAGGAAATAATAGCAGAACAATACGACACCATAAATATCGGTTTGCTTAGGCTTTCGTGGGTTTGGGGAGTTTCCTATCAACCTGTCATCATTAACATGGAGCGAGAATAGATGGACTGTTGTTACCTTTATGGCCGTCAAGTCCTACTCTCTTGCGCGAGTGAGGAATCCGTGACGTGACTTCTATGACGAGATGAGAGAATTTGGAAAGAGGACGTGGTGAGGATAGATGGGAGGGAAGTTGGTGGTGCGAATGGTTTATGAGGTTGGGGATTTGAACAGTGAGATGGGTATAGTCAGGCGCCTAGCTAGTTCATCAAAACTTAGAGAGTACGGAGTTGTCTTACTGTAGGCCAGTGAGAACTTAAAAGTTCTAGTTTGTTAAAGACCTGATCACCTCTTCGTCATGTCAATTTAGTAAGCTACTCTGGTAAACAGTGGAACAACAAAAACAAGGCTTCTTAGAATCTCGTAATCTGCTACATAACTAGCATTATACGGACTAATATTCTTTGGCAAGATCTGGAATGTATATATAGTGTTGTGTAGCTTCGTACTAATACAGTAAGTCGGTCGTGCACCTTTCAACGCGCCTCCATGGTACTGATCTATGTGCGCAATTGCGTACTCATTGCCCTAACTGCTGGTAGGATAAAGTGTATTCCTCAACTCATCTCTCGAGTGTATAATCTCCTTGTGGCACTTTAGATAAAAATTGTCATCTCCCTCCAAAGTCCCTAACTAAGTGTCGTGTGACGAATTTATTTCAGATAATTAATAGAGCATGATTAGGAGTTCATAAGCTTCAGTATCTTCGAAAGTCCTTGACTCCCTCGGTTTCGCGTCGATATCAGGTCCAGCTACTCGCATGGAGACTTGCGGTTTAAATTCGTGACTATCAGGTCGTACACCTGGATTTACTGAGCTTCTATCCCCTCAGCTGCGGCCAGAATCACACTGGACCGTGCACAATTAAGCGATCCAATTAGACCCGATGTTTTCATGAGTTTTGGGTGTAGAATCTACTATTTTACATGAAAGCTATAGACACAAAGCCAATTCTAGATAACTAGATATATGAATAGGCATAGGGATAGGTGGATAAAGTCTGGACTATTACTCTTTAGTTATTATAAGGAAATGCGCCTAATATAAACCTTTTGAATACTAATTTTCGGGTAGGTTAACTTAGTACTATCGTATTAGTATTTTCACAGGCTTAAAGCGTATTTCGGGCTGTTTAGAGGGTAGGGTATCTAGAAACTAAGTCTCCTGATCTTTTGTATCTAGTTACGTGTCTTTAGACATTATAATAGTGAAGTTAACGTGGTTTATCAGCGAGTCGATCATATCAGCGAGTCGATCACTTTTCCTTGGCACTACCTCCTCAAACTTCAACACACGTTTTCTTCAACTATTTACCATGGAAATTCAAACTCAAGAAGCGCGAATTACTCTAGCTATCGAGGCTATTCGGTCGTCCAAAAAACTAAGCAAACGCTCTGCGGCAAAGATCTACAATGTACCATATACGACTCTTTCCGACAGAATGGCTGGCCGAACCTACCGCCCAGATTCTCAAGCCAATTGTCATAAGTTGACTGAGTTAGAAGAGGAAGTGATTATTCGGTATATACTGGATATGGATTCCAGAGGATTTGCGCCCCGGCTCGCTGGTGTAGAAGATATGGCTAATTTTATCCTGGAATCGCGGGGGGGAAGACGCGTCGGCAAGCTCTGGGCCCATCGATTCGTACAACGACAACCAGACCTTAAGACGCGTTTTAGTCGCGTTTACGACTTCCAGAGGGCCTTATGCGAAGATCCTGACGTGCTAGGCGCATGGTTCCGGCTAGTAGAGAATATGAGGGCGAAATATGGGGTTACAGACTCCGACTTCTACAACTTCGACGAGACAGGCTTTATGATGGGTGTTATTTGTCCTAGAATGGTTGTTACTCGTGCAGACCGACGTGGTAGAGGCAAGGCAGTTCAGCCAGGCAATCGGGAATGGGCTACAGCAATTGCCTGTATTAATGGGGAGGGCTGGAGTATTCCTCCATTCTTGGTAGTTCAGGGCAAGAACCATCTCTCCAACTGGTATACCGACGGCGGCCTCCCACCTAACTGGGTTATGAAACCGACAAGCAATGGTTGGACAAATAATGAAACAGGCCTGGAATGGTTAAAGCACTTTGATAAACACACTACAGCTCGTGCAAAGGGTCTGTATCGAATACTAGTTTTGGATGGGCACGAGAGTCATGAATCGGCTGAGTTCCAAGACTACTGTACGAAACACAACATTATTACTCTTGGACTACCTCCTCATTCATCCCATCTAACCCAGCCACTTGATGTTGGGTGCTATAGTGTGTTAAAACGAGCGTATGGTCGGCAGATTGAGACGTTTATCAAGGCCCATATCAACCATATTACAAAGGTTGAGTTCTTTCTAGCCTTTACAGCAGCATACAAGGAAACAATGACAGTCCTAAACTGTCAGTCTGGATTCCGCGGAGCTGGCCTAGTACCATTTAACCCGCAAGCAGTGCTTTCAAAGCTTGACGTAAGGTTACGGACTCCAACTCCCCCTCGGACGTGTAGTGCCAACTCCCTCCCCTGGGTGTCCCAGACCCCTTCCAACCCAACTGAAGCCCTTTCACAATCAACTCTTGTACGAAATCGTATAGCCTGTCATCAAGGAAGCTCGCCAACTCCACTTTTTCAAACAGTTGCTGCGTTAGCAAAGGGTACAGAGCGAATGGCACATGAGATGACCCTTTTGTCTGCTGAGGTCCGTACCCTTCGCGCTGCAAATGAAGCCCTAAGTAAACGCCGTAGGGCTAAAAAGACTCGTGTCCGCCAAGGAGGGGCACTTATAGTAGAGGATGTACAGGATATGTTAGCTCAGGAGGATGTAGATGAGCAAGTACGACGCGACATGCGTGAGGCGGGGGTTGGTTATAAGGAGGGGCAACCTTCTAGGCGGCGCTGTAGAACTTGTGGAAAAGCTGGTCATAACGCGCGAACTTGTCAAGAAGTTATAGATATATCTAGTTCGTCAGATATAGAGAGCGATAATTAATTTAATATATTGTGGTTGATTTATTTAGGTGTAAAGTTCTGTGCCAAGAAAAAGTGATCGACTCGGTGATATGATCGACTCGCTGATAAACCACGTTATATAAAATTGAAGATACTAGAAAAGTTGGTGTTCCTCTCCCTCGCACGGGCCACCTAGTGTGATTCTGGCCGCAGCTGAGGGGATACTGTATCACGAATAGCGTAGCCAAATATCGCATGTCTATGTAGAGATACTGCGAAGCGGATCGAGATTAGCGAAGAGCCCCGTGTGCCGCCGGCTTTTTAACTGTGCCCCCTCTTCCCCCAAAAAGTGATTTGAGTACATTCGCAACACCCCCACCAAGTGAATTTATTTTCAAATAACTATGAAAACTTGCCATTGCAACAACAAGAATATCCCTGTGAGCTTTCGTAGCTCAGTCGGTTGGGTCTTGTTGTTATTGTAGCCAGAATTGAAAAACACAGGTTTTGCTGTTCTATACCCCTACCAGCGGCCTTGATATAGGGTCGGACGGTCAGGACTTTTTCCCAGGTTAAATTCAGGGTTTACTTTGTATAGTCCCCAAGTTGCTCACCGGGAGCGCGAACAACGAGGTAGCAGCTGCATATAGATCCGTAGGACCGACTCATATTACACGCTTGTATATTCTCATGCGTTGCTTAAAATCTGTTGTATTGTTTTCATAGTTTATTCTAGTATATCCTGTTTGTCGAATGATACTAGGGTGGTGGAGGTGGCGGAATGAGGTGAATATAGACATATCGAGCCACCTATTAAGGCGGATTTTAGACGGCAATACTCCGTAATCAACATACACATGAACGACGAATCCAACCACTTCCATTCTCTCTCAACCTACCCTACTCCATCCCCGGCTCCTCTTCGGCGCCCCATCCACGCTAGCATACCAGCCACCCCACACAAAAATACACCGACGCCCTTTAAGGCCCCAAGTAAGCAACCCAACGTCAATCATTTGTACGCTTCTACGGAATATCGTCTATCTGGTTCGGTGGTTGAGTCCTCTGAGTCAACGGCCGTACATACTGAAATATGGTGCCTGTTAGCTACAAATGGAAGAGCGCAGGAATGATAGCCCAATAGAAAAACCCAATTCGTCTGGTTTACGCTCCCTGGCGGCGCCTTAAAAGGCGTTAGGATTTTTTTGCGGTTTTTTGGTTGGTTTGAGAGGGTTTCTAGACGTTTGCGGGATTTTTTGTTGTGTTGCAGTGTACGTAGATTTTAGGCGCTAATGATTGGTAGGCTAAGCGAGAGTTAGGGGAGTGGATGCGATGGCCCGAGCCCACTTTTGTGAAGGCATTCATGGAAGGAGCGATGCTCACGCGTCAACACCATCTATCTCCACTTGGAGGTTTTTCTTCTGACACCCACCCCAGGAGACGAGGCATCTTGCAGGCTTTACGTTATTCTTCTACTTTCTCCACCATTCCTTAGTATACTTTTGTGCGACGAGAACCTCCATCATGGCGGAAGTACCGCCAGAATTGTTAGTCCAGTTGTTGAAATCTATGGTCGAGGGTGGCGGCCAAACTCGGAGCTCCATAAAACAACATCAAGGCAATTTCTACTCGTCTTCCAGTGCGCTTACAGTAGTACCCCAATGCTAACTGCACTTCATAGCCGCAGGCAATGTGCACGACACGGAACCCGATGCGATCTTCGACACCCTCAAGCCACGAATTGAACTTCTTATGGATGCGATGTTACAAAAGCAAGCCAATGATACAAGTCAGCCAACACCAGGCTAATATTTCATATGCTTACCGGATTTTGTTGCTGACACTTAACAGAAGCGGAATTCAGGGATCAGTTTCAGGTAATTTTCAGTGCTTTCAAAATTGAGATTCTCGATGCGGTTCGAGAAGAAGTGGTCAATGGCACCAGAAATGCACTTGGAGCCGCTTTCAAAGCCGACATCATCGCCTCTATCAAGTCCGAGATTCTTTCTGCTGTAAAAGCGGAACTCAGAACCAATTCCATATATCCAACCCCACCAGCGATATCAGAGTCTTCGAAGAGTCGTCGTAAGTTACAAGACTACAACACCATCTTTCTTTCTCCGCAGCTAATAAGTTCTTACAGAAGCAGGGTTCTCAGAGGACTTCGCAGAACCAACAATGACCGCAAACCAGAATAAAAGGCAGCGCAACCCATCCGAAGTAAATACTGAACCACGAACACCTCAACGCCGACGAATCCTCAAAACCAGTCGCACCAGTTCCGAGGCATATCTTGATAGCAAAGAACAAGTTGCCATCGTACAACAACAACGTCAATTCATCACCCCTCATCCTCGTCAGATCCTTCTCCAACAGCCAGCTTCCCTCCCAAATCCTAAACAACAAACAAACTACGTTTGGGTAGAGGTTTACATAGGTCATTACCAGAAACCCAAGTCCTATTTGGGTTTCGGCGGCCTCCCAATGTCCATCCAAAAGGCCATCCTAGACGCCGACAAAACTACCACGGAAACATATTCTCACAGGAAGGAAAGCCTTCGGGCAAACCAATGTGGAAAAGGAATCTGTTGGATGAGTGTACATAAGAAGTTGGATGTCTTTTGGGAGCCCGACGGATATTCTGATAACTCCGAGTGCACGATGTGTAGGGTTCGACGAAGAGATGGGCAGGATTCTGCGTGTTTCTATTTTAAGAATGAGAGTGTTGTTATGGTGTGTCGACCACAGAGTGATTGAGTGGGGGTGAAAATCGGAATTTTGGTAGTATTGTGGGGTTTCTTGTGGGCATACGCTTCGTGCTTAGAACGAATGATGAGAAGGGAAAGCTAGCATACCACTGTCTTGATAGTTAATCAGTCGGCGTGAGTCAAGTTTTCACTCAGCTTTCTGAAAAAAAACTTTTTGTGAAAGAAGTATTATGAAAAAGCTGAGGGAGATACCACAGAGAGACGATTTGGTCCTTTGGGATTGGAGTCTGGGGCGGGTTATGCCACCTACACGAAAGCTATGGCATTCTTACTCTTTTTATATCTCTATAAGAGGTATTTCTGGTTCCTCCTCCGAAACCGTAGTACTTGGATGCATTGTGGTTCTTTTACGGGTCTTCAGTTCTTGTGCTTCCACTCCTTGCTCATCTCAAGCATCTTAAACAACGAAACGTCGTCTGTAGTAGGCTACTAATTTTCGACAAACTCGCTCCATCGCGTAGCTTTTCCTCAAAGAAGTAGATGTGTCTCAGTCTTCGGGTGTGTTTCAGCAGCAATGACTGAATCATGGGATACGAACTGGATTCGAGAAAGCGAAGTGAGTATCCTAACAATCATACCAACAATCGCGTAAATCTTCTGCTCGTCGGTTATGTTCGGGGCACATCCTCCTGACCACACCCATGAATGGAATTTGCAAGCTTGGAGGTCGCGATAATTATTCAGGGTCAAGTAGCGAAGACGAGGACAAGCATGTTTGAGACCAGGATATTCACCAGCGCAACGGAAACCTCTTGTGCTTTGGGTACGAATAAGTCGAACAAGACACCTAAGAAATCACCGAAATGAGCGTGGTTGACTCCAGGTCTTCGTAGAAATCGGTCTTGGAGTTCCCGTCGAGACGGATATTGGTTATATAAGAGGGGTTGAGTAGATCTACCCTAGCTGTGTTTAGAGTAATGACGGCCTCTCTTAGATAGCCCATAGATTGGTTAAGTCAGGTATGTTAGAACAATCAACCAGTAACGGGGAACTAGTGGAAAATGTGAAGCTAGGTGTTTTTATTTGTCTCTAGGCACACCGAATTGAATTGGCTCTCCTAACATTTACAGCTTCAAGTGCTCCTTACGAATGCATCGAGTTCCATCGTTACTTCGTTATGAACAACTCAGCATCAAGATCCCATTTTCTGAAGCTTTGGATTTCCCTCCAGCAGCTGGAACGACTAGGTCTCAATTGCCCCCTTCTTCAGACACCCCATTCTCATCCACTCTTGGGCTTTCGTTCTCTAAATAATCATCCTCGTCATCTCTGACAGGCCATTCGACCTCTTCATAATCTACACTTCCCACCAAGCGCGATTGATAATTCTTCTAGATCTAATGAAAATCTATGATTGATGATATCTTTTTCGAGGGTGGGGTCTGTTGCTGGTGTGACGGATGAACTTTGCATGTGCATATCTGCCGCCACATCTTCACAATCATGATCGTGAGATTCTCCTGATCCTCCATGGAATAACTCAATCAGGGCATAATGGAGTTGTATTTTGGCCTGTTCTGAAATCTGTGCGACGTTCGAAATACTCAACTCGAATAGGTAAAGCATTGTACCATCGACAAGATACTGTACCCCTTTATACAGGAACGCCTTTACCGAGGGGTCATCTGAGGGGATGTCGATTGTGGGATTGATTGAACGAAGAACCATATTTAGGCGAGCCAGATCATCAAGAGGAATTTGGTCTAAGTGTGGGTCATCTGAAGTCATCAAACGGAGCAGGCTACCGTCCAGAATGCATTGGAACCATGGTGGTAAGTTGGCATGTACCGTTGGAGTCGAATTTGAACTGGCCGATGCCCGTGGGACTTCTTGACCTTCTCGAGTGTCCTGTGCATCTTGAGCTGCTTGATCTTCTTGGGTCTCTCGTGCCACATTTGCCGCCTTTACTAATTCGGCTTCCCTCAAAGTCTCGGCTTGCTCCCGAAGTCGTTTCGCATTCCTCCCATCAAGTATTCGTACCTGCTCTTCAGGTTCATACTGTCTTCTGATAGTCTTTAGTACTCCCTATGGACATGAGATGAAAAAATCACGTACTTTCTTGGTATCATGATTCGTCTCCTATAAGTTGTTATCGTAAACGTGGATAGAAAATTGGATCTGTAATCACAAGAACGACCAAACTGGCTGGTGTAGAGACAAGTTGAGTTATCGTTGTTTGATGCAGGCAGGGAATGAAAAGGCCGAGCTTTTCTCATTTCATGACCCATCAGCACATGCCGATTTTGTTGATTTTATTGTGCTTGAACTCTGGAAGGAGTCTCGAGCGCTCCTCCCTTCCTAGAACATGACCCCATGCACTGAAGCATCAAGGATGGCGAGTCCTACCACATCAACTTCTTTTTACATGCATCCTCTTAGCATTCAACCAAATTCCCACGATAATTCCAATTGTATTATGAGCCCCTTTTTTTTGGCAGTCTAGTGACATGCGAGTGCCCTTGAACTTCTCTCATCAAAGCAACGCCACACCCTGAATTGTATTACCCAACTACTGCTCAGCCCAAAAAACCTCCTAGTGTTCATCCAAGCAGGCACTTCCAATTCAATTACAAAGTGAATGGAGCCAATATCATAGTCTTGTTTCCTGCATTGATCCAGACCGCCGAGGCCAAGCTTCTTTCGAGTCCGCTTGTGTTAGGAGAGACGGGGGTCCTTCCCGGTCGTGAAACTTGAGTATTGGAGGCCAGTGGCGGGCTGGGTGATGGACGAATCCTCACGAATGCTGCTTCCGTTCTAATCCTTACCTATTGCCTCCAATACGTACCCTTTGCCGTTTTTAGAGAAACGAAACTTCTGAGAGGGTGATGCACGTGCGTCTGTAGAAATACCAAGATTGTTTCTTTTCACTGGATAGAAAACTTGTAAGAGTTGATATAGAGCACACGCCAACAACTTCACATTTATATTCACTCATTATTGTATCTCTTCCAAACGCGACATAAATTTACATCCAGTCAACTCCTTCACATGTAAGTTGTAACCTTGCTTCATGTCTCGGAGAATTCCGAACGTCCCAATGTGATAGCCGCTCTTTCCATGGAAACCAAAAGACTTGAGGAAGAAAGTGTGGTTATGAAGCTTGTTGGAAACTCTCACATCAACAATACTCTGCTCAAGTCTTGATGGGTAGCTCAAGGTTCAACATCACCCAAGATCATCTCACAAGATAATATCAAAACATATTCAAACATCCCGCTTTTCAGACGCCTCCCACACTCAAAGTCCTCTCAGTACTCAATATATCGAAGAATATCGTTCGAAACGGACTTGTACGTACACCCCTATAACAACAATCTCTCATTCTTACCAATTCAGATACGTAATACGAAGAGGTGCACTCCCCATCCGAAAGGCTTTCGATATCCCACCTCCTGATGAGCTGCTCAAAGTACTCGTGTCGAAGAGGTCATATTCAGCTACAACATTGAAGACACTTCGTCAATATTACCGCAAGGTGATGAAGGACGAAGCCGACAATCCCGTCTTTGGTCCGTTGTTTGACCTGCTTAAGGACCTGTTGTTGACTCCTTCAAACGTACACCCCACGAAACCGAAAGATGACGACTCAGTCATGACAAGAATCATGGCAGTGACACCCAAAGAATTCAGATCCACACAATTTCCAAAACCCAGACTTCGACCCTGGAACGAACCACACACCCCACTTTCACCCAAAGCACAACCTGTCGTCCGCGACCCAACCACCAGCAAGGTAATGGAAGGCGACCCCTCTGACAAGTTACTTCATAGGGCCATGACCGATATTAGCACTCTCAGACAAACCAACGCCCGACAAATCCATTCATGCATACAGAGCGAAAACTCTGAGAGATTTTTGGAGTCAATGCTTCAGTCCGCCGCCCAATTATTCAGCCACTGTCAAGAAAGAAATCATGATCATGCGTCAGTGGGGTTGTTCATGACCTACAAACTCTTCTCCCAGAATCCAAAACGTTTCCAGGATGCCATTAAAACAACTATATGTCCAGGGGTAATGGAGGTTTTTGGAGGCATGTCTTGGGATCCTAAACAATTTCAAGATCAGCTAGAGGTTCCAACACCTGAAATGCTTGGTGGTAGCATATATCTTGTACTAAACACCGCCAAATCGGGCAAAACTTATTTTACTATCGGCTGGGAATTCTTCGGCTTCGAGGGATACAAAGAAAAGACGTCGAGTAACACAAAGTTGTTTTTGTTAGGAAGGCGTCGTGGCGGTATGGCCTTTGGTACACATGTTCTCGTTACTGGCTTCTTGGCCTCGCTTCTGACGATTGCAACCGACGGTCCCTACCACAAAGACACGAAACTCGAATCATACTATCCGTTTGTAAATCTTTCGGGACGTTGGATTGGAGACATGCCGCCAATGAAAACTCTGAACAATCTGTTCCCATATCACCCGGACGGAATTGACGAAATCAACAAATTCCGACCAGGACCATGTATGGCCCCCTACTGCTCGAGGGTGGTAGAAAAGCGGACATGTGTATTCGACCCAGAAATTCAATCAGTGCGCACCGTCTGTATCCCATGTCATGAGTATGCAAAAAACACAGGTTCTTTGCCTTCCGAGCATGTCGCAGCAGCATAGTTGCAAACAGTGCAGCACAGCTAAATCATTTGGGTTGGTTTTGGTATTCCAGGCGGTTGCCTCGGCTTTGTTTCTCACACAGTAGAGTTTTTGCTTTCAGAACGACGGGTAGATAAAGTTTTTTCCGATATATGAACAGGCCCTCTCACTACAGACTAGCGAACTGATTATGGTATTATACTTAATTTTCGAACCCGCACTCTTTCACAGATACCATGTCCCTGCTTCGAAAATTTCATTACTTCTGTGGAGATAAATGAGTATTCGTAGTTTACAAAGCCTCGATCATGCCTTGCCAATTAATGTGTGTCCGGCCTCCCACCTCCCACCTCCCATGTGGTCCCTCAGGCCATTTTCACCAATCCTCATCAAATTCGTGATGCTAGAATTGACCAGCGCGCTAATGTTCGCAAGGAATATGCAAGATTTTATGGGTATTTGAAATCAATACATATCTCTGTTGGCGTAAGTGTTCTAGAATGACTAAGTTAATAATTGCTTTAGGAATTCTAGTACAATAGGTTCTTAAAGTGTGCCCAGAATAATGAACATGCCTCTTACATTATAATCGGCACTCAGGCGCCTTGAACTGAAATTTGAGTTTGGCAAGCTATAACCTCCGGTATTGAATGCTAGCTCTATCTTGTCTTTGCACTCACAAAACAACAATGTCTTGCTACCTCTTCTTATCTCTGACCACTAAAGTAGTACTCATCCTTGGCAATTATGTTAAACAGTTTTGTACCAATTCTCAAGGTTTTCGGCGAGAGGGTTAACTAAAAATGGTTCGACGGAGTCACCGTTTTTGTTGCTTCCGAATAAAACTGGAAGGAAGGATCGACAGTACGTAGTTTTTGCGGCGTGAATGAGTAGCTTCCTACCCCTGCCCAGGCACCCAGCAGAGCATTCACCTATTAGGTGTATGTGTTCTATATTCACTTGCACTTATATCTTAGTGAATTCATTGCTACGTCAAGATTCTAAAGCCTCCACCACCTTATTACTGTATAATCAAATGGGGAAAGAGATCCATCTCATCGAGTCACAGCACCAACACACCACCACACCACCACACCACCACAACCAACTGCCAACAACCAACTGCCAACACAACCTACATGTTACCTGCGCAGTTTCTCAGAAAGACACGACGCCGAAGAAACAAGGCACGTTATCGAGCACGGAAAGCGGACTTGGGACGTCTCGCACGGCAACGGTTGGCGCAACAAGACTTTGAGGAGCAAGATTATGAGATGCCAAAGGACGAGGAACACGATAAGCAACCAGAGGAGCCAGAAGATTCAGAGGAATCAGAGGAGGACGAGGAAGAAGACAAGCAAGAGGAGTTGCAAGAAGATGAGCAAGGAGAACAAGTCGATGAGCCAGAGGAGCAAGAAGATTATCCGAAGGGAGATGATCAAGAAGACTGGGTGGAGACTGAAGATACAGTCAATTTCGTCAAATTTGAGGTGGATGATCCTGAGGCCCCAAAGATTGGTCAACAGTGGCCTAACATGAAAGCTGCAAGAGCGGATATGTACCTTTGGATCTACAAACAGCATGAATCATGGGAGTTCGACAAGTCCTGGAAGATCGCTAAGTCAGACAGATTTGACTTCATACTCAAGTGCAGTATCGATGCGGATTGCGAATTCCTTTTAAAGATAGGCGGCCCTAGTGATGATAAGGAGAAGCGAACATTGCATACATATATACCGCACAGTTGCGCCTTGAATACGTATGTCACCTGCCGAGGCGAGTTTGGCACGAAATATCCTCTTCATATCTACGGAGAAGGCACTAGTCCAGATGCTGATGTTGAAGCTGCAATAAACGAACCTGAAACGAAATTCGACACCAGTCTATCCTTTCAGCGTAATTTCCCTGTTTCTAACAAAAAAAAGGCGCCACCAAAGAGAGAAATTACCTATTATTTCCCAGATGGACATCGCTGGCAATTCGAGGTTGAGGATGAATCAAAGTATGACAATACGGAGGATTTTCTGAAGCTGGGCGCGCTTGAGCCAATTGATCAATCCGAAGAATGTTTGTTCATCAATAGGCTTCCGCTAGGTACGAAAATATATCCACTGACCGACCTCTTTTGGGAAATAAAACACTAAATTTTGTCAACCAGATGTACGAAACCGAATCTACAGGAAGCTTCTTAGGAGACCTGTTGGAATCATTCCATGTTCTGGTTGTAACGTTCGGGACACACCAGGGACGCAATTAGGGCGTGGTGTGAAGGCCTACGATTGGGGGTATGTTTGGAAGGAAAGTCATGCGATATACGGAGACGAGGATTGGATAAGATATCGAAGACGTAGAGCTCAACGAAAGTACAACATAAAGTACAACCGCCGGTACGTTGATCATAGAGATTCGGTCCCGCCTCTAGATTATGAGCGTCTACCCGATCCCTGGGACCCGTACGATGAATTCGATTACGAACGTTCCGACAAAGACTTGCGGGTACAGAAATTTGGGAAGGTCAGGAATCTTTTAGTCACTTGCCGGCAAATATATCACGAGGCTTGCGAAATACTCTACGGAGAAAACACCTTTGTGTTCATCACCTGCAATTACCGAATACATGACCCCAAAGAGGTGCGAAAGGCTCAAAGCCGCATTCCCGGTTATCCAGATCGCTACGGAAGACCTCCGAGCATTGAAAAAACGGTTCTCGATGTTTACCGGATATTTGGTGAGGAAATCTATCGACAGCAATTCTTGTATCGCGATCAAATGCTGCGGTTCTTTAACAGAATCGGACTCGTTAATACTTCACGCATTAAAAAAGTCCGATTGGAAGGAGTACTCAAGCCAAAAAGAGCCTTCCCGGTTGATGAAGAAGATTTTTATTTTGTTGGTGCTACTGATGGTCTTGATACTTTTGTGCCAATGGCGTTTTCAGAGACTCTGCGCATTCTTCTCGTCGTACTGAAGATTGCCTGCCCAACACTCTACCGCCTAGATTTGATGTTGACAGATGGCCTTTGGATTAAGGACGATCGTCCATATTCGGAGGATCCCAATTTTTCATGCGAAGACGAAATTGACGCAATGGTTGAGATGGTCGCAAAGGGTCTTCCATCTTTAAACCGTCTAATTCTAAGCGATTGGACTGACAATCAGACTCATCCGCTCAATTGGGGGAAATCGAGACTTTGGGTTAAATTTGTCGAGGAGCGGGAAGCAGTGCCGCCGGACTACAGCTCACTCGCACTCATGATTAAGATGAGTCAAATTGAAGCCGGACTACCACCAGAAGGAACAAAAAGAAAGAGAGAACAGATGACTGCGGGATGAGGGGGGATGTATGGAGGAAAAGTGAAAGGTGTTACTGTAGAATAAGCGATTAGCGAGCTTGGCAGAACATCCACAACAGCAAAAGGGCAAGAAGCTCGAGATAGTTGCCTAATTGATTACTCTAGTGATAATTTGAGCGAAACCTTTTTATCTGACGCTTCATGTTGATATTTTAAGTGAAAGGTTATTGTCGCTTATTGTAGGTGTCAAAACAAAGGTCATTGTTAGGAAATATTTGCTCTTCTGGGCATTTTGCGATCGTAAGCGAGATTCTTCTCTGCGTAGACTTGGAAAACAATGAATATCTTGTCTACTAAAGAAACACCATTCTACTTCTTTTCTATTGCCTTGAACCTATATTTATAAGCTCACACACTCTAGCAGCGCTTTGTTGCCCTAGGTTCCTTGGATGTAGAGTGCTTTTCCTCCAACCAAAATTACGAAGCCTGAGTGAATCCAGAACGACAAGCTGCCAAAATACTGCAGGGTTTAGCTGAAGGAAAACACGTGCAAACAAAGATCACGCTAGTATTTCTGAATTACATCCGATTTGTTGACAAGAGAGAGCTAAACATTGTTGGAAAATTTACTTGCCCTAACCTTCACGCACCCCAAAATCGCCTATCTTTGTCCTACCACCGACTATTTTCCTGGATAAACATCCAGCTTCTGGAGTGATATTCTTGCCCTCATCGCCAACTGAACCATATATGAGAGACAGTAGAATATACTGTATAACTTTCACCGTCTCTTCTGTAAGACCCTCATATACATAATTTGCGTTTTGTGGGTCAATACTTGCGATGACAACAGGCTATACTCTACCATCAATTCCGCAAGATCCTCCTTACGAACGAAGCTGCATATCGTAATCGCTTAAGAGAATGTCGTCTACCATCAAAGGAAGCGAGTTTACGGGGGGTGCTCAACAACTTGCCGCCGTCAACGAGAATATGCCAAACGTTGAGGCCAATGTCACTACGGGAGCATCTCAAGTATGCTACTTTGTGGATCGGTTGCCTCGCAGTAAGTAACAGATCTAACGAAATTTTCCAAGTTACGTCTAACGATCTGACTAGATGTCCGCAACAACATATACCGGATGTTCTTCCGCGTCAGACACGCCATTGTTCCATTTCGGAGCCCTATGTACGACGGAATGAGTTATTTCAGTATTGAGAGACGACTTGCGTTTTGTTCCACCGACAATCGAGAATACTACGAATGTCCTGTCGAAGAGATGGTTCCACGCGATGGTTTGGGCTTGTTGACTTGCTGCAAGAAAGTTTCCGAGGAGGCTTGCGCGATACTTTATGGAGAGAACTATTTTGTTTTTCATGTCAATGGGAATTCCAACTTTGCTCTGGGAGGCTTCTACGATATAGCTTCCTCTCAAACGGGTGGGAGCGAGGCCTCCATTAACCACGAGATGGCCCGCTCGCTCTACTACTACATATTCCACAGAGGAATTCGTCAAAAGTCGCTGATCTTCGAAGACTCTACGATCCCACAGTTTTTCCGACAAATTGGCATTAAGAACACCTCGTCGATCACGAAAGTTGGAGTACGGGCATATTTTATTGACTACCAATTGGGATTTGAGGAGGTATTGAAGGGAACCGCCATAGTCTTGAAGCACTTGTGTCCTCGCTTAAGCCGCCTGACTCTTGATGCGGATGATATGACCAAAACGAATGACCTACATCGATCAGGTCCCTTCAGAGGCCTCTCCGGAAGAGATTTTGAGAGACTTCCTTACCACGTCGTCAACCAAGTGGAGCATATCGTCGGCGAAATCTTCAGTATATTTGCCCAAGGAATCCCCTCGCTTTGTGTGTTGCGCTTCCAGTGCCCGAGGTTCACGAACGACCCGAGAGATTACAATGTGTTGGGCTGAAGAGTGTGGTGTACTGAAGGTCATGGAGAATTGATTGATTGTTTGAGAAGCTATTGTACAGAGTATTTATAAGGGAAGGAAAAAGGGGCAAATGAGAAAGAAAGGGGTAAATGAGAGGTGGAGCCGTATCTCAATACGGACGCTGTACAAATAATAATACAATAATGAATAAGTGGATTCCACATCAGGTGATATGGTGGATCCAGCACAACACAATGGCTATCCACCTATATGGAAGAAAGGACTCGAGTATGTCAAGAAGCGCCCGGAACCTTCCAAAATCGATGATAGCTCTGTAATTGTGATGTTCCAATTGGAGCAGGAGCACGAATGGTTGGCGCCGAGAGTGTAGATAGGGGATAAAGTTAGACGATAGAGCGCGGTAAAGATATAGAGCGTGGCAGAGAGGAAAGATAAAGAGCTATAGTACCTAGTTGTATAGCCGATGCCAGTCGAATCCTGATCTTAGAGAGGAATCCGTTGCAGAAACGAATCTACGTTATTGGACTCACTATTATCTGTATTATGTAAGAGCCGAGAGAACTTTCCAACAGCTTACTAAATAGCCATGTTAGTAATCTGAAGTGAAATTTATAATATATAAAATGAGTCGAGTACAATATAGTAGTAGTACCACTATACTTAGAGTAACTCGAAACTACTTGAGTTAATAAGAATTTCTTTGATATATAGCATGTTTCTTCACGAGGCTACATTACAAATCGACGAACGTCTAAGGACACTATAAGAGATATGTCTATTACTCTGGACATATCTTATATAAAACTCTATTATACTAGAATCTCTAGATAATCAAATTCTTTGTCCTAATTTACTTAGATTAATGAAGAGACATTTATTTCAATTATCTCAAATCGCTTATACGATTATCTTTGTTATGCAAGGAATTTAGGATAATAGTATTCTAATCTACGTGTATTCGGAGCAACGCTCGGTAACTGGAATACCATTCCATTCCACAACCCCCCTCTGGAATATTCCATTCTATACCCCCTATTCCATGAAAGTTCCATAGAACTGAATCATATGACACGGAGAAAAGTGTCACGAATCACGTAAGCATGTGACAAGTGAAGACCAGGCGGCGTCCTGACAGGTCGAGCACTATCATATCTCTTATAGCAAATAGGGATGCTTAGACTAGCTAAGCGATCCAGGGATTTCATTACATTGTAATCACGTGACCATTTGCATCGCCAGTATCGACAGGCGATGCTGGCGATATGTCGACAGCATCGACAGGCGATGTAGGCGACGGCGGAACACGAAGGTTCTATATAAGACTGGCACGTCTGCCATTAGATAGGAGCTTCGTGCTCAACTTAGTTATCAATCTTATCATATTAGTTTGACATCTTTGATACAAGTAACGAGTTCACTTCCAAGTGAACAACCCGATAGTCTTCTTCTTATCATAGCATACCAACCAGCGAACACCCAGCCAAGTTTAGTTAGCCAGTTTGAGTATTCGTTACAAAAAGTCCGTCCGCGCCATAGACCAATAGCAAGGCTAGATTCTAGTAATACAGCAGTATTAATAGTAAGAAATAAGTAGACTATATGCCTTTAACATTAGGGTATAGGCTTTAGAACAATGGAGCCAAGAAGAGATTAACGTATTCGGTTTTTACAGCTAGAGTTATTTTGGTATAGGTCTATACTTATACTTAACGGTAATTAACCAAACTACCCCCTAATTGATTATAAATCACTAAAACACCCCTTAGATAATTGTCTAATAACTAAACCACCCTATAATTTATACCCTACTTTTTAAGGGGTAGTTTAGTCGCTTAAGTGTGACGGAGCTGGATTTCATTTGACAGGATTTCATTCGCTTGGCCAAGCACGTGATGAGACTTGGCATTGGAACAACTTAAATAACTTCGCTCCTTTCAGATTCTCTTCTCTCTTTAGTTTGATTTCTTCGTACCTACGGTTTTAGTTCTAGCAATTGATTCAAAAGCTGTATACACTTTATCCTTTGTTGGCATCCGTGACATTAAGTACCAAATAGGGGGTATTTCTATTAGTTAACCTTCACTAACTTTTATATATATTTACACCTATTTTCTAGTAAATCAAAGCTATAATGTTATAGTACTAGCATAGATTTTTCTATAACACTACTATCTATTCTCCTATAACTATACTACTACACTAGCTAAGAGAGAGACTAAAGTACCGCGAGGGTATTTAACTATAGCGTACTCTCAAAAATCAACTTCGCGAATAGCACCTTTAAAGATATACTAGAAGCTCTATAAGTTAGCAAGGAGTAGGATAGTATAAACGAAGCTAAGGATACTATTAAGTTTATACTTCTCGACCTCGACTTATTGTGACGGTTATGGTCACGAGGGCTGGATGTCACATGCTCGCTTAGCGAGGCGCTAGCGCGCACGACCTGTATTTAGTTCCCAGCTCACTAGAGCTCTCCTTCTTTCCTCGTCTTTTGTCCTAAGAATAGAGTGTTAATTGTTCTGAGTTCTACCTGAAGCACGTCTGTCACACTTATCCTTTAATATTATAAAGACAGATAAACAACGGTATATTCTCGATTATAAAAACAAGGAATCTAAGTGTGAATTCTATATACGAGTCCGCCTATCTTAAAAATCTAAGCGCGCTATCCTTACTATATATAAACCTTATAACAACGACACCTTTTTTCGTAGATTGAATTTTTTGTTCTAAAACGCTCAATCTCTCTTACTCTCCCCTAATAAGCTGAATTCCTTCCATGGAGACTCCTCTTAGGAGGCTTCCGGCCACGCCTACGCCCCTTGGAAGGGGTTTAGGGAAAGGGGGGGTACGCCCAATTCCTCCCCTCCCCAAGATACAACAACAATTTGTCTCTGGGACCACTGAAGCTCTAGAACGTGGTGCTATAGGCCAAATCTTCTTTGGAGGCACCGCAGAAGCTGTAGACCACCACCTAAGTACTGCTCTTGATNAATTTGTCTCTGGGACCACTGAAGCTCTAGAACGTGGTGCTATAGGCCAAATCTTCTTTGGAGGCACCGCAGAAGCTGTAGACCACCACCTAAGTACTGCTCTTGATGGAGCACCTCCGGACATCTTGCCCTACCTCAGGGCCTTTTGTACACAGGTGGCCGACCTTAGCCTAGCCTTTCACCGAACATACACCTCAGGGGCCCCGCCTCTACTACATTTAGCTCCTAGAGCCCCNGCCCTACCTCAGGGCCTTTTGTACACAGGTGGCCGACCTTAGCCTAGCCTTTCACCGAACATACACCTCAGGGGCCCCGCATCTACTACATTTAGCTCCTAGAGCCCCCAACAGGTGTAGGGACTATCCTACATCCCCCTCGACTTCATCCCCCCCTCTGGCCCCTGTGGGAAAAATTTCTTACGCACAGACCATAAAAGATGCCTCAGCGCCTGATACAGCAACACCACAAAACCCCC